GCATATTTTGACGACTGTAGGTGCTTCATTTTGTTCGATTGCTTTTACACACAATTTTATAATAATTGTAGTAATATGGATTGGAGTTTGGTTCTCCATGTTTGTCAGAGTGAGATAAAGACAGATATGTAAATTCTAGCAAAGCGCACGCACGAATCTTCAATTTAAAAGAATTGAAGTATTAACGATCTATGCACTTTGCCGTACTTTTCTTTTCACTTTTGTTCTTTCATGGTCACGTAATTGTTTTAATAATAATGTATGGAATTATGCGGAAAAGAATTAGTGCAGTATTTTCTTCTAAAATATTTACTATCATTATTTTGTGAAGAAAAAAATTGTTTGCATTTATGTTATGACTACACAAATAAGAACAGGTATAAATAATACATCAACTAGTATTTAAAATACATATAAATGCGCGCTCAATATTGACATTCCTGCAGTCTACCTGCAACTTTAGACAAAACGTAAGGACTCTATCAATAATCACGTTAATAGCTATAACTAATAATAACTTAAACCTTGATCAACCCGCATCTGATACACAACAATCTATTCATTCCACAGCGACCATCCCTGACAACGACATGCAGCCAACCATGACAACGCATCCCTCAACTACCAATCATATCAGATCAACTTCAAAACAACCAATCAGACGCTCTCGACTTATACAGAGTCTTAAAGAACAGCGCGAAACTTAAATAAATAAAAGCTAGACACGTGTAAATAACTTAGATATTGTGAAGAAGACTCGAAGTACCGAGTCGAAAGCTCAATATAAAACAATTTTAAATCCAGAGAACGTTTATTGAGAAACAAATATGCCTGAATTACAAATCCTTAAACATATATATATATATATATATATATATATATATATATATATATATATATATATATATATATATATATATATATATTTCATTGCGCTTTGTGATGAAAGGTTTAAAAGTGCGAAACCAAATCTTTATACTGAGTTTGCAGTGACATTTAGGACTTTTATATTTCATTACCTGGTTTTATATCAGCTCGCACAGCTTTGTGGGTACGATCACGACTTTCAGTTGAGATGACGTCAAACGTTGAGAGTTTCCAAGAATGTACCCACACCTCCTTGCGCCACAGCAGACAGTATAAACCGAAGGGGGACGGGCCTGTAGGAATAGTTTCAATTTTCTTGCGTGTCCTGACATCTATCACGTGCACCGAATTTCCTGATGCGTCTGCGACGAAGACCACATCGTCAACAACACAAGCCTGACTTAACCAGCAGTCGTTTCTAGTAAAAAGGTCAATTATTAAAATTTCATTATCCCAAGTAGAGCGTAACATGTTAAAAGGGACTGGGCGTCCTGACATCTAGAGCTTTTTGTCACGTTTTTGTGGACGGAGCTATACTGTCGACATTACTTATTACTATATATACTATATAAAGCAGCACTCTAGACCAACCTTGACACTCGGTTATTGCTTTTGGTACACAGTCCGGGCGCTGTTGTGTTGGTTATTTTAGCAAGAAGCCTTTTTGCCACTGGATCTATCACATATAAACCATCACCTCCCAGAACATAGAATACATTGTCTTTTTCTCCAGAGGCAAAATTACCCGAGAGAATTCCTGTCAGAAAAAGTGAAGATACACTCTAATAAGGTTTAATCTAAAATTATTTAAATTCATACCACTTTATACCACTTTATACCACTTTATACCACTTATACCCTTTAGTTTTTTTCGAGAAATCGTGAACATTCCAGAAAATGCATGCCAAATTTAGTTTGTGTAGAAAAGATCATGTGCAACTGCGATTAAATGTATAATGGCTGGAATTATAAAACGTTCTCTGAATAATATATTAAACTGTTTATTACAAGCTTTTAGCTATCAGTCTATATAACCTCCAACGGGTAAAAAACATAAATTTGAGAAGGACACTAAACATGAAGTGAAACATGAAACTACGTGTGAGACTACCCATACACTTTTTATGATTGTTATGATGAATCAATCACATCTACTAGTAACGCTATGACTAGCTTTTAACCAAGAAAGCTGTTTCAAAGTTAAATAGGTGATTTCGTGCGGTAGGGACGAAGGCCTCTTCATTCAAACCTATAATTGCATTGATTGTCTTTGTGGGAAGGATATTTTCTACTACGATGCCACGATGAATTTTCCGCGCTGTAGAAAAAAAATTGCACAGCAGGCGCCTAAGAATGTAAAATCTTATAAGAATGTCATGATTCCTCCCAAATCACTGAACCCAGCTAGCGCGATATTAAATAAACAGATTTAATTCAATTCAAAATTGAACATTCAACAATATTCAATAATGTAGGAACCTTTAGCATGTAGGTAGAACACGATAGAAATACAAACGTATATTCAGTGGAGTTCGGTAAATCTCTCGGGTTCTCACGTCCTGTGCACAACGCGGAAATGCAGATGTTTCCAGCGCAAAAAGCCCAAATTCAAATCGCGGTCCATAGAAATGTTCTCAAACATAAGCTCGATGTTTTCAACTTGTTATACCTGATTAAATTTAAGCGATTGATAACATTAAACGTCTCTTTATCGTGGCTTTTATTTGAGCGTCTTTCTAATCGTATTAGCTACAGCCTTCCCATCCTATTCCGATCATAGACGCTAAAGCCTCCAGCACGAACACACTCGAATACAAACTCGCACATCTTTTCAACGTTTTTATTCAAAGCCACCCACTTCGAGAAACATTAAATAATTTACCCACGAAAAAAATTGATACGTACTGACATCGCGTTCGTTCAACAGAAATTTTGACTAAATCCCCTCTTGTTTGTGTTGGCTTTGCACATAAATAAATACATGGTGTCGTGTTTTTACCGCTTTTTGGCTAACAGAAAACACACACTTTAACTTGTTAGACAAGTTAACGTACCTAAGATAACCAGCATTGGAAGCAAAACACGTAGCATCATGTGGATATATTTAATATGAGGTATATATTCCAGGGTGTGTATGAGCTGAACGAAGTTCTATATAACGATATACAGCCAAGGCGTTATAGCAAATGTAAGTACAATAATTCCTCGTGTTTTCTCACACATCCTCGTTCCCAGGATTTCCGCGTACTGCACGTGCCGAAAGCCCTGAGATAATCTGTTACTTTTACGGCAAAATTTGGTTGTTTGTCGCGGGCTCTCTGCCATAGGAAAAGTGCTGACTCAGGGATATTATGCTAGGAGTGGGAGTTGTGAATTTCGTTGTGAATGACCGTTGTAAATGTGAATTTCGTTGACCTTAGTGGTGCAGGTAAGCTGATGAAACTGCGTGCCTGGTGGGAGAAGATTGCCCTGCATGCATGGTCCGAGTTTTGGTTACTACCTGCGAGCTGATAAATCCTGATTGATTGTGAAGCCACAACTGGAGGAAAAGATAAGTATATTAGTTCTTTATTAAGTAAATGGTGCCAGCAACTTTCGGTTATTCCAGTCTATGAGAAGGTAATTTATCATAACTAGAAAAAGTACTGGTCCCAGAACTGTTCCTTGCGGCACGCCTCCGTTTATAGATTGCCAGTTTGATACGCAGCTAGCTAGCTTGACGCGTTGTTTGCGTTCAGAAAGGAAACTTCTAATCCAATTTGTAATTGTCGACGGTACTTTCATTTCATATAACTTATCTAGCAGGATGTTATGGTCCATTAGATCGAACGCTTTCGAGAAGTCGAGCAAAAAAACCCTTACAGTTACAGCGGTTTTTGGTGTATCAGAGTCATATAACAAATGATGTACAAAGTTTAAAAGGGCGTGAGTTGTCGAGGAATTCTTCAGGGCACCAATGACTGCATTGTACTGCATTCCGATGAACTCTGGCACCACTGGACCTCTGATAACTGGAAGCAATCATGTCCAAAGTCCAAAATTTACTGCAGCTAAAATAGTTTTATTGATTTTTGAGCTGAAATACTTGAGTGTGCACATTGGGCTGCATACTCTATCGATCCCAGCTCTAGCTGCAATTTTGCTCCAACGAATCATTACTCCAGGTGTACTAGAGTGAATGTAACAGGCTCACTGAGCCATATGATAATTCACGGTCTTCAACCAAAATCGTAGCTGATTGGTCAATTTAGTTTTTCTTAGTTTTTCTATTGAAAATAGAAAGCTGATTGGCTCTTTTTAAACGACAGCCAATCAGCTTTCTATTTTCAATTTAAAAATATGACGAAGGTATAGGCAAGGTGTCCCCAGCATAGGTTTTGAAATATATTTGCCAGAAACCCAAAAAACATTCACGTTTTATACATGCATAGGAATACATTTGAATGCTAAAAATATAGTATAAATATAGTAAAATTATTCAAGTTTAATGTGTTGTACTTTTTTTTTCTCATTCGCCATATTTTTATGAAATATTTGCGGTTTTGTGAAGGTGTTTGAGTCAACCGTCGTGCGTTTTTAGCTTATTTGGCGTGAGAGTTGCCTACCTTGTCATAATATAAGACTGTTCAGACAATATGAGCGTCGCGCGAGGTCAGCGAGATCAGTTCTGGATCGCCTATGCAATAACGTGCAATTTTGGTCGAAAGCCGTATAGTATAGCCCAATGACTAGGCTACGTTAGTGATGTTATTATATGTCCAAGAAATCAAGCTAACCAAGCAAGATAACCAAGAAATCATTATTGATCATGAAATAGTCTATCAAGGTGGGGTAAGGGATTATACCCTATGGGGAGGTGGGGGGATTATACTTTCCAGGGAGGTAAGGGATTATACTCTCTCAGGAGGGGGATTATACTCTCTGGGGAAATAAGGGATTATACTCTCTCAGGAGGTGGGTGATTTTTTAGACAAAGACTTTCATCATCAAAAAATTTGTCAGTAAGATTTTAACCAGCGTTATATCCAAAATTAATACAATAATTCCAAAAATATCAATAAAATGCAATATTTAATGCTATTTACACAGAATAACTTAAGATAACTTTAAAAAACAGTTCAAAATTTCTCTTCTTAATCACATTCATACGGTCTCTCTCCAGTGTGTGTTCTTTGATGACTAAACAAATTACTACCATGTGAAAATCTCTTCTTACAAACAACACATTCATAAGCTTTCTCTCCAGTGTGCATTTTTTGATGACTAACCACATGATCTAGAAGCTTATTGGGGGGGGGGGGGGTGGTTGTTTATATTCATATATTCGTCTTATGCCTGATTGATTTCTTTTGATAGCAATTGGTTCAGCAACCTGTGTGGAGCTCATTGCTTTCTAGTTAGAATGCTTGTACTTTTATAATTCAAAGACAAATGTACAACAAAACTTAAAACTTAACATTATGTTCTGAAATGTCAACTATAACTTACAATATCAAAAAAATAATATTTTATGTACAAAATAGAGCTTAAGGTGGCTCCCTTCAGGTTCTTGAAATTGTTAAATGCACATTGAATATGTGGTATTAATTAAGCATATTTTTGCCAAATGACTAAAATTTAATTAATCTATCAGAAAATACATCAAAAGATGTTTCATTAGTGGCTGTTAAATACAGTTTAATAGTTTATTCATGTTTCTATCGCAAATGAGTCTTGTGACCCCTAATTTTTATAAAATTAACTTTGAAGATGCTTTGTGACATTGATTCAAAAGTTTTTGTAAAGTGGGATTTTCATTAGCTGGAATTGTCATTAGCTCTTGGTTTGTTTCCTGAAAGGCACATTCAATTCTAGTTTTTTAGGCAAACATTTGGATGATTCATATATCTCCGTTTAAAATGTGCATTTAACAAATTCAAGAAACTGCAGGGAGCCACCTTAAGGTAACTTAAAAAACTGTTCCAATGCTTCTACTTATTAATGTCATAGGAGCAAAAATATCAACAAAACCATTGTTAAAGCTAACTTTATGTTGATAGTTGTTAATGCTACCATATTGCTCAGCAAAAATGTTTCAAAGTGAATTCATGCTGGTAAGGTTTTGCTCTTTGATTTCACTCATGACAAGATTCACATATTAAATGGAATTTTTATGCTTTTAGGTTGTGCTGTTTGGAGAATCTCAGCTTTACCTTGATTTCACTCATGACAAGATTCACATATTAAATGGAATTTTTATGCTTTTAGGTTGTGCTGTTTGGAGAATCTCAGCTAATTTAAAACATCCAAATTCCTAATCTATGTTCCTTATTTGAACGCACATTATATTGCTAGGATTTCTCTCTTATGTGTGTTCTTTGATGACTAACTAAATTACTACCCTTTGAAAATCTTTTCTTACAAACATCACATTCATAAGGTTTCTCTCCAGTGTGTGTTCTTTGATGACTAACCAAATGATTACCATGTTTAAATCTCTTCTTACAAACATCACATTCATAAGGTCTCTCTCCAGTGTGTATTCTTTGATGACTAACCAAATCACTACCACGTGAAAATCTCTTCTTACAAACATCACATTCATAAGGTTTCTCTCCAGTGTGTGTTTTTTGATGACTGACCAAATGACTGCCCTGTGAAAATCTTGTCTTACAAACATCACATTCATAAGGTTTCTCTCCAGTGTGTGTTCTTTGATGTCTAACCAAATTACTACCCTGTGAAAATCTCTTCTTACAAACATCGCATTCATAAGGTTTCTTTCCAGTGTGTGTTCTTTGATGACTAACCAAATTACCACCATGTGAAAATCTCTTCTTGCAAACGTCACATTTATAAGGTTTCTCTCCTGTGTGAGTTCTTTGATGACTAACCAAATGACTACCACGTGAAAATCTCTTCTTACAAACATCACATTCATGAAGTTTGCGTGTTCTTTCTCTTCTTGCAGGATTCAAGCTGCTCATATTGCCTCAGCCTCACTCTGACCAATTTAAGCGACGTCGAATCCTAACTTCTGAATACTCGATTTTGGACGAGTTATATCCCTCAGTATTTACACAAAGTGTTAACAATGATGTACAGATGTCTTGACTTTTGTCAAACGAAAATAATCGAGACAAGAGAATAAGTTTTGACCGTTTTTATTAAAAATACAAGTTCCTGGCTGCTTGAAATCTTCTGCGGGGGCTTTTTGCGCGCTAGAGTATAATGAGGCCTTACCATTGGCCTTACTTGGCCACCGATCTCTATATATTGTTATTACTACGGATAGTTGAAGGAGTCTAACGGTAGCCTACGCGTAGACTCAACGCGAAACGCGTAGGCTACGCGTAGGCTAGTCTACGCGTAGGCTAGTCTAACGGCTGCTTTCCACTGTCGCGTTTTTTTACGTACGTATACGGACGTAAAAGTTGAAAATAATTTAAATGATAGTTATGAAATCAACGATTGAATATTTCCATAGGGTTGGATTCTAAAAGTTCATGATTTGGTGTGTTTATCCTAGCCGATAAGATTAAATTTACAACAACTTGGAACATACAGTAAGTAAATTAGCTTTAGGTACACCACGTAAGTATCTAATACTGCAGGCTAATTTACGTATTTGATGTCACTATGTAAACATACAAGAATATTATAACATAGAACATTTTAGGCATTTACGTGCGTTTAATTTGGTAGATGTACGACACTTTACACTACCTTCTTTGCAAGTTTGACGCTGAAACAAGAAACAAAACTTCGACAGGTGTGCACGGTCATATTCACTTCATACACTTCGATACTGCTTCATATCTGAAGAGAAATTAACATTATATAAAGTAATTTATACCCTTAGTTGTGAAAACGGAGACAGATGAGTCAAATTGCAATAAAGTATTAAAGTATCCTGCTTAAAGTATTCCAAGGAGTTTTAGTATGCCGATCAAATTTTTCTTTTACGGTACCTTGAGGAGAAATATTTGGAAATTACTTACCATATTTTTATCCAGAGTATTACACACAATATGTTTTTCATAATAATATGTCTAAAAAGTTATTTTTTATTTGGCGTGCTTATATTTTGTTATTTTGCAAAAAAACAAATGCTCGACTCGTCAGACAATAATTCTGAATGTCACGGTGAAGTTCCTAACTGTATGTATCAGTATATCTTTTTCGCTCTATACAGCTCCTAATAATGCTGTAAAAAAATCTTTGATACTGCATATTTCGAAAAATCATAAAACTTTGTCTAGTCCTTAAAAGGCTTACTTACTTTTTAGCAATACCAGAATTCCCACCTCCACCAAAGAAATTTATTTCAGCAACGAACGATCCAGGAATACCACGGTCAAGATCGAAAGTCCTCTTCAAGTAAGCAGAAACAGTCCGAACAGACCACGCAACAAACAACTCCATGAGCTCGTCGCAAAGAATAAACGTAAGTTTACCGCTTTTAACTTTTTGTGATAAATAGATACGATGAAACTTCATGTAAAATAACTCTTTGTGGTGTTATTTTTCTGCAATATCAAATGTATTCCTAGGAATGTTCCAAGTTCACCTTCTTTTTTTGCTGCATTTATAGAAAAACACATATACTGTACTGAAATTTTATCGCTTATCAATATTGTGCTATGCATTGTTCTCAGAATGTGTGGTTAAAGATCAAAAGACAACAGAAGCGGAGGTGAAGCAGGCTGTGCAGCAACTGTTGAAGGCGGTACGCACCAGATAGGAACGTTGGAGGCAGACGAAATTAATACTGAAGTACTTGAATATACTTTACTCCTTATGTAGTTGTTCGTCAGAGATTTATTTGTCAGACTCTGTTTTTAATTGTATTGTTGGATTGTTTTGTAATGTTATCATAGAATACCGATTATTCCAGTTTTTTAAAAAAGAAAAGAAGTATTTATAACAAAAATGAAATGCTTTTTTTTTTTTTTTGCTCACTTTGGTTTCTACTGCATGTTTCGTAAATAGTGACGGACGTTGCAACGTTGATAATTGTGGTTGTTTCAACGTCGAAATGATCCGACGTCTGACTATATCGTGCGACTAAAATGTTCGTTTTCTGAACAAGAAAGAATGTAATACAAATTCCGCAATGCGAAACTTTCTGGACATGGCAAACATACCTGGTAGATTCCGGACACACTTTCCTGCAAGTATGTTTAACATATCACAGTAAATATTTGGACAGTCTGCCATATTGATAGTGCCTCAGTCAGGGGCCTCACAATAGTCGAAAACAATGTATGATGTTTCCCATGGACAACAGCGACAGATACGTAATTCCAATATTCTTAGGATTTCAACCCGGGCATACACGCGTTATATTCAAGATATATGATTAATAATGGTAATTGCACTGAGTGGAGTGCAATGTGGTGTGAAATCAAACGCGTGATTACAAATCGCACTCCCGCTTCGCGGTCGCGACCTAATCTTCCACCTAATCTAAGCTAATGTTTGTTAAAAACCCTGTGTGTAAATTTTGGGCAGAAAAATTTAGATTATACGTCTACGGAAAACATTATAACATTCTTCCTACTTTGAAAAAATAGTCCGTGTTACATCAAGGTTTTTGAAGCCGTTTTAAGACTGCACAAAAACATACAAAAACACAAGAAAAATCAAACAGCTCGGGCGAACTTTACCAGACGTTCCTGGAGCAGTTGCTGGAGGTGTAGTTGCCGAAGGTGTAGTTGCTGGAGGTGTAGTTGCTGGAGGTCGCCCTGGAACCCAGACTGCAAAGGTTCCTTCGTTCACTCCGCTAATCTTCCCATGAATCTTTCGGGTCTCTGCATTAATAATCACCACCGCCTTGTCTCTGGTTGCCGGGGAAATGATCCATTTATTGTTGATAAACAAGTTTCTTGATGCGCCGTGTGTTGTTGAGTCGAGGAAGCCGACGTTTTCGATGTATTTCACGTCAGAGATATTTAATTTTTTTCCTAAACTCAAGTCAATGACCGCTATTTTGTTTGAGTAATCAAGTGTAACGAATACGTTGTAGCTATCCGAGGTGTTACCCTTGGGGAAGAAAACCGCATGGGATACACCACCGGGGATACTAAGTCTCGGGTAAACATTAATGTTAATTCCTGCGGATCCTTCGATGGCAAAAATATTCATTATACTCGTGTTGCGATGAAGGATCACAACATACCGGCCATTAGGCGAAACAAAAGGAACGCCGAGAATACTCCAACTAATTGTAATGCCCCCGCTAGTGTCTTGTGTAACTAACGCCAAACTTCGATATCCTTTTTGACATTCCACGAACAAGTATTTGTTGTACGCGTTATAGGCAATGCCCATGGTTCCTGTGCAGCCGTACTTTGAGAAGTTACGAAAACTCGTGTAGGTCTTCGTTTCTAAGTTCAATTCGTGGATTCCGGGATTTTTAAAATGTGTAACGAAAGCCGTCTTTCCTTCGTTCAAATCTTTGTCGGCAACCATATAACCATGCGTCCAACCTATTATGAAATTTTTATTCCCATAAAAAATTCAGTTAGAATACTGTAATAACTTCGGGTTCTACTGTTATTAGGAGTATTCACTGTTTTCAGCCAGGGGCGGGTTGTTCAAAAATCGGTTAGTCTAACCCTGGGTCAACTCGAATTTTTACATCAGTATCTTTAATCGCTCAGTTATGCAGTTGAACATGTTTTTTCATAAATATTTTGTGGATAAATAGAAGTCTTATTTTGCAAAGTATTGAAACAAACAGCAGTGCAGAACCATATAAACCAAAACAGAGGAGTAAAATTTAACCCAGGGTTAACGCTAACCTAGCTTTGAACAACCGGCCCCAGATCTTCTTTTTGGAGGGTAAGTTCATGGGCATGGCGACCAGGGGGTGTGAGTGGGGGTGTGACACCACCCAAATATCCAGCGTGATAAAAAGTTGGTCAATTTCCTTATAGCTACTGGTCAAAAAAAGGTAGCAATCTTTTTAAGTCAATTAACCAAATTAGGCCAGTCATGCTCAAAATAGGCCGATCTAAAGGCTTAAAATTTTAAAAAATTGGTGGTGCCGAGGGAACCATTCCAAGGCCAATGTTGACCTAAATTTTTTAGATATCATTAAGGCTCTGGAGCCTAATTATTTATATTGACCAAGCCATATCTAAATGGATTAAAATTCAGTAGAGAAGGGGTCACTAATTAGCCCGTATGGAAGCCCATATATATATATATATATATATATATATATATATATATATATATATATATATATATATATATATATACACACATATGCATCCATGCATTCGGAATGTTGTTCGACTTTCGGAAAGCGTAAAAAAAACGCTTTCACGCTTTCCGAAAGTCTCGCATCATCTCTCGTAATCCTGCACGGAAAACCATTTAGTAATACAAAACTTAGACTAGAAATACATTGCATGCAAAGTCCCCTCGCCTGAAGCAATAAACTTATATTTCCATCACTGAAATTCTATAATACTCGTTTCTGCTGAATGATCGAAGCCGTGTAAGTAAAATCCTATATCTTGGTACAATATAAAGTCGACTCTCGAGCTATCACATTCAACTATAATCGTAATTCATTATAAATTGTGCTACGAATAGTTTTAAATACTGCAATTTTTAGCGAAATTTAAATTCCTTTTTAAACAGATTGACCTTTAAAAATAAATGCTTTCCCAATCAAAATCATTTTAACGAAATTGACGAATAAATTCAAAGAGGTGTCGTACGTTTGTTGATAAATATACAAGTTAAACTTACGAAATACTTGTTTGCTAAAATACAAAATCTACCTATTTACCTGTTCAAAAACACTCCAAAAATGCTTTAAAATCGTAGATTTTTCACCATCTATTTTAATCAAAGTTTTTCTATCCGAAAGCATCATCTGCTTTACATTTTAATCATTTTTACGAGTGAATTTTTCCGTATATTTTCAAAACCATCCGAATGAAAAATATTTTTTAAAAAGTATAATTCAAAATATCAGTTATGCTGACGCGAACCAAAATTTTAATTTAGCCAATCGCACGCTTGCAAACGTTTGCTGGTTACCAGTTTTAACTCGTCTTAAACTCACGCATGCGCATAACTTGCAAAAACGCCCAACGTCCATGACATAATGGCGGACAACTTTCATTTCGCATTTGCATTCCCGGGCGTAATCAAAATTTCCGGGCGGAATTAGTACCCTCGCCCGGTGCTTCGCACCGGCTCGGGGATTAAATTTGGTAGATTGGGGAAGAAAGTTCATCTTAAAAGGTCCTGCGAAAACGATGAAGGCCCCAAAGTCTATAGCTATTTTGCAATGAGATTGAAGACTATTTCATCACCTGGTTTTATATGAGCTCGCACGGCCTTGTGGGTGCGATTACGACTTTCTGTTGCGATGATGTCAAACGTGGAAAGACTCCATGAGTGTACCCAGACCTCCTTGCGCCACAGCAGACAGTGTAGGCCGATGGGGAACGGGTCTGTCGGAATAGTTTCAATTTTCTTGCGTGTCTTGGAATCAATCACGTGCACCGAATTTCCTGATGCGTCTGCGACGAAAACCGCATCATCAACAACACAAGCCTCACTTAACCAGCAGTCGTTTCTAATGAAAAGTGTTTATAATCAGTGAAATTTCATTTTTCTAAGGAGATCGTAACATTTTAACGGGCCTGTACTGAAATATCAAATGTTGTGGATCAGTGGATATCTTGAGATTTCATTTATCTCAAGATTAATCTTTCATTCATTCATGCAAACTGATAATAACCAAGAACCCCACTGTATTTAGAGGAAGAGCATCGTGAGAACAAGGTTATAATTTGACATTACCTATTACTATATAAGGGCCAGTAAACTGTAATAAAACCTTGAACGCTAACTTAGCTGCAATCTTTGAAACCAAATTTGAAGGTATACTGAATAGTATATATCTGCGTTTTTGACACTTGAGACAGAGATAGAGCGTACTTATGTAGGAATGCCTAGAATTATGTAAAATACACCTATTTGCAATTTTTATAAGAACTGAACCATTGAGTCAAAAACTCAGTTTTTTGCTTCAATCAAATATTACGCTGAACTATAGGAGTTAGCTTCCAGACTTCAAGTTGATATTACACTTCACTGATATAAGGGCTGGTTTCCAGTCGGGAAAATATCCTCCGCGGGCTGGATCGAGCAGTTCTTTGCTTAAGATTTTGGCTAATTAGTTTTGTTTGAGAACACATTAGGCGTCTACAGATTGCGCTCGGGGACTTTTGAAAATTTGAACAACTGCATGCTCTGGTTTACAACAACTGGAGCTACTTGGAGCAACATTTTTCTTTTTTGAGTATAGAAGAAAGCAACTTTTAAGCTTATACATGTTCTATACTGCTAATTTTGCACTGTCACTGATTATCAAATAAAATCTCGACAATTAAAATATTTATTTATTCACTATAGCACAATCTGTAGCGGCCTGCAACACATGGATAATAGAAACTCTTCCTGTCCGATACGGTCCGGTGGATAAATTTTCCTGACTGGAAAGTAATTAACAGCCTTCAAGCAGCACTCTGGACCAACCTTGACACTCGGTTATTGCTTTTGGTACACAGCCCCGGTGCTGTTGTGTTGGTGATTTTTGCAACAAGACGTTTTGCGACTGGATCTATCACATATATACCATCACCTCCCAGAACATAGAATACACTGTTTTCTTTTGCCGAGGCAAAATTACCTGAGAGAATGTAAATTTGAAAAGGACTGTAAACATGCCGTGGAATATAAAATTATATACATGTGAGAGTAACTATACATTATGTTATGATTTACAGCTATACTCGCTTGTTAACCTAGCAAGCTGTTTAAAAGTTAAATACGCGATTTCGTGTGGTAGCTAGAGTGGCCTTTTAATTCAATCCTAACTGCATTGACCTCTTGAATGCTATTTTTTACTACCATGAATTTTCCGCGCTGTAGAAAAAAAATGCACAGCAGGCGCCCTAAAAATTCTAACAATGTTATGATTATGTGTACAATGTGTCGTTTGCATTTCAAGCGCAACAAGCCCAAATTCAAATTGCGCTCCATAGGAATGTTGTCAAAGATAAGCTTCGATGTTTTTAACTTCCTATACTTCATTCAATGTATGCGATTGATAACATTCAACGACTCTTTATCATGGCTTTTATTTGAGGAAGTATTACAGCGTCGCTCTATCGTGTTCCAGTTCTAGATGCTTGATCACACTCGAATACGAATTCGCACATCTTTTCTGCGTTCTCATTCAGAGCCAGCCACTTCGGGAAACATTATTCAATTCTCTCCGCGTACGTTTATCTGAAATTTTAACTAAATTCCCTCTTCTTTGTGTTGGCCCTTGCACTGCTGCACATAAATAAATATACGGTGTCGTGTTTCTACCGCTTTTTCCCTACAGACCTACAGACAACACACACTTGTGGACAAGTTAACTCACCTAAGATAACCAGTATTGGAAGAAAAACACGTAGCATCATGTGGATATATTTAATATGTGTGATTCTACGCTGTGGATACGCTGAACGAAGGTCTATATAACAATATACAGCGAAAGAGTCATTTAGTCAATGTAACGACAATAATTCCTCGTGGTTTCTCACGCATCCTCGACCTCGTTCCCAGGATTTCCGCGTACTGCGTGTGCCGAAAGCCCTGAGATAATCTGTTACTTTTGCGCCAAAATTTGGTTTTTTGCCGCGGGCCCTCGGCCAGAGGAATAGTGCTGACTCATGGATATTAGTGGGAGTTGTGAATTAAATTTCGTTGTGAATTGATAGATATTTTACATGCAGTGTATGACCAGTCTTACGCGCTTGGATATATACAACGCGTGACACCTTTATTTGTTTTAGATGTCGCTCGGTCACGTAAAATATGTTATCGTCATAAAGACCCACACGTGCACACCGGACGCGATCGATTCGCCAATGGCCCAAATGCGACGAAAATTTAACTCTGTTTCCCGCGTCTTATCCTTTTGTTCGCCGTTTACTCGTTTTCCCGCGTTTTACCTAGCTCATGATTTCTGTTTTTCCGTTTCCGCCTTCCGTTTCAAATTTCCCGTTTTCAAATTAATTGTAGCATGATCGTGCATGCATTCGCTATAAACATGCTTTGAAACATGAATTTACAGAATATATTTCTGTTCCGGAAGACGTGTCGATGCCGAATTACGATGCTCGACGATGCTGACTTGGTAGCAGTCGGCGAGTATCGCAGAAAGGCGGTTTTCATCAACGCAATCTGTCGGTTCTTCATGTATTTTGGACAAAAAGGCGGGACAAATTAGAACATTGGGTTCGAAATTAGGATGATCAGCATTTTACGATTGTGACTGTCGGCGAAGTCCATAAATGCGGTTTTCATGGTTTTATCAGTCGTAGCCTATCTGCGACAAACGCCGATCGTCGTAACAAAACATTTTTTTTGTTTTGGTACGATCGTCGGAGACAGTCGCAGATGCATTACGATGAGCGGTTTTCACCAATTACGATGCTCGGCATCTGTCGTAATTTTGATATCGGCGAGCATCGCCGACTATCTGCGAGTGATGAAAACCAGGCTTAAGCGAGGAAGGGCCCATGAATAAACGTCAAATATGTCGATTAGTTTAAAACGAAATTCCACCTTGTTCTATACGCGTTAACTATAGCTACGTACATTACCTAGCCACCTGAAATATGTTAAACCTATAGTTGAATGGCTTGAGCTCATAAATTGACGCTTCTCTATAAGCCGTCGGCTAGCTACGTAATTATGTTTTCTTTTAAAAATTTTAGGCTTTCGTTCCAGTAGAATTCTTGTGCCTTTGACTGTGCCTTGTTTTCACCTCCTAAGAACCACGTATCATCCCACCTTTCCACATAATGTCTTGAACACGGTGGAAGATAGCATGGCGTAATAAAATGTCCTGTTCCAGGAAGGGGCAATCTTTTGCAGAGAGAGCCCTTTCCGTGCTGTTCCATTCTTTGATACGTTTCCTCGCACATCCAGTCGATTTCAGTATTCAGTTGATCATCAAGACCGTACACCAGCAAAACTTTCCCAGTTATACGTTCCACTGGGACAAGGGATGGCGCTCCGGGCTTGCAAGCCTCCTTGCTTTTGAATATAGACAGATAATGCGAATAAGAGACGTAGGTATCGTCAGTATATTCCACAGGAAAACCTTGAATTGTGAAATCATTGCAGCATAACGTGCAACCGATTAGTACAGGTGGTCCTGATATCGACACAACTGCTTTAATTTTCTCCGGAATTTGTGAAGCAATGGCTAATGCAAGTACTCCACCCATAGATAGACCAACTACACCAATGCCACCAGACATTACCTATGAGAAACAGAGATACAGGGTCATTAACAATACAGGTGGACGCGATCACTACTGAATAAAACCATAGATTCATTGGTATTATCGCTACTCTGGTTTACTATTACTCAAGTAATCTTCACACAAAGATTACATTCATGACCCAACGTTTCGACACTCTCATCCACAGTGTCTTCATCAGGGGTGATCTGATGTTGAAACGAAGATCCTTGTAAAAAATAAATAAATACTCTCAACATGACATCTTTGTCTAATAAGATGTAAATATTCTTTTGGCAAATAGCTCATTTAGAATCCGTTAAAGTAAATAGAATATTTCAGTTTAGAAATGCCATTGGGAATAATATGCACTTCCTTGCTTCCCTCAAAATTCTGCAATTAAGCTCAGGTAAATATTACCTTATCATGTGATATCAACCAATCAACAGCTTTTTCAAAATAAGACATAGAAAGTGAACCATATCTCTTAGGAAGGTCTTTAAATCCCCAGTAAGCTAACGCCAAGGCCACAAAGCCATTTGATGCCAAGAGGGCTGCTCTGTCTTCACGAATTCCACCAGGAAGTCCCCATAAATCAACTACACCTGGACCAAAATAGAATATATGCGATTTATAATAAATGTTTTGGCATATCACTAATAAGGTACTCCTTCTTAATGAGACAAAATAAAAAACAGCTGTGATAAAGCACATTGCATCTTTTGTAGGATAAACAATGCACGCTAACCGGCAGCTTAATTTTAAATTTCTTTTCACGTGTCCTCTTTATGATACCTATAGTTCGGTATATGGTTCATTTTTATTATTAAGAACATTTACGACACAAAATTTGCATAGCTGGGCTGACTACGCCGCTGTGAACGACGCGACCATAACGCCTAGTAGGCGTCTTGTTCATTTAAATAAGTGTGGAAATAAGCCATAACTCGACAACGAGGCTACCCGTCATGGTTAGCAGCCTCGACTTCGTGTTACGGCTTATCTCCACATTTATTGGTCAAAAATAAAATTTTCTTTTTCATGCATTTGTTGAAGAACAATGTTGCACGTGACTCGTGAAAGTAAGTATCAATCTCATTTAAGGCGGTTTTAAATTTAAAACAACAATCAATTATTGTGACCTAATTATGGAAAGAGTCTATAACATGAACATTACATAATTATGAACAAATAAAATAAATTGTTGTCATGTTGTTTCTAGTAGATCATGGGATATTTATCGGACAATTAAGGTTGAACATTCTTTCGTCTGTGCAGTATGTATTTCATATATAAATTGTTTAACAGTTAATTAGAAATAGAAACACAGAACACATTTTATTTTGGAGGGGCCGAAAATCATCGTAAAAATTCATCGTGTTGTTTGACGCTACTAAAATGGCTAAACTGATTCACACCAGAAATACGAATGCGGTCCATATCGTCTCTACTTCCTTTTTGACGCACAGTGAAAAAACACGAAGTAATTACATTGCGAGTGAAATTCTTATTCAATGTTCGTTTGAAAGATTTTACTTGTCTCATGTCCAAAATTTAATGTATTTTTGTTGGGGGTAACCCCTCCACATCTTTTTTCGTGGGGATATCCCCAGGTTCGCCGCCACTGAGAATTTGAGAAATTTGAAAGTAACCTCAAAAGTGTCATCATGAGAAATACTATATTGACTACATTACATATAATAATATATATACTATATTGACTACATTCTAATTCAGGCTGGCTGAGTATTTCACTATGACGACAGCAAATTGCAGTGGCGTAGCCAGCAACAATTGTAGGGGGGGGGCGAATCTTCATATATTCATGCTAACAGACTGTAAAGACATTTGATTTGAAAAGAAATTAATCCTGCGTATCACGAATATATGAATATGTGCCCCCCCCCCAATTATCGTGCTGGCTACGCCACTGGCAAATTGGCAAGTCTTTGTAAATATAGCGGGCGGGAGAAACATACATAATTAATTTTCCGCTTAGTGTAAATAATGGGAATATATAATGGCCTAAACATTGTGTTTTCAGCTTAGTGTAAATAGTGGGAATATGTAATGGCCTAAACATTGTGTTTTCAGCTTAGTGTAAATAGTGGGTATATGTAATGGCCTAAACATTGTGTTTTCAGCTTAGTGTAAATAGTGGGAATATGTAATGGGCCTAAACATGGTGTTTTCAGCTTAGTGTAAATAGTGGGAATATGTAATGGCCTAAACATTGTGTTTTCAGCTTAGTGTAAATAGTGGGAATATGTAATGGCCTAAACATTGTGTTTTCATTCCAAAGATGTGATACAAAACATATTGTTTTCCACATAACTGGACAAGCATTAGACATTTGTGCCAGTCGAAAAAATGTAAGCAATAACCATCATCCCTCGTGCGTTTGTAGTTGCATTTATTATATGGATGGGGGTGTTTTGCTGAGAACTAAAACACTCGTAAAACTCATACGCCACTACATCCGGGACCAGGTGCCCGTATTTTCCGTATGTCACGTTTAAGAGTGACATAACGAGTTTCGAAAATTTTTCCGCCATTTTTATTGGTGTTGTTGTGAAAATACAGATGGTCTTTGGCATGTATATAAAACGAAATTAACGTTGGAAATACAAACAAAAACACTTAAAAGATATCCATGTATAAATAAAATTGAAACTACTTAAATGTTTAGGTTATATAATTTTAAAAATATTCGCTTTTATAAGCTCTTCCGCGGCTGATTTACTTGTCGTCTTTGTGTGTATTTTTGTCACTCATAATTTAGTCCATATAATAAACAGAACATTACACGGTTCGCTCGAAGATATGGATTTTATGTTCGAGTGGCAAAAACAGTATCGAGTGGCAAAAAACAACATATATATTGTTTTTGCCACTCGAACATGAAATCCATATCAACTCGCCACCGTGTAATATTTCCTATATATCTTTTCATATACATAAACATTCTGCGCCGTTGACTACATTTCTATCATCTCCAATTACTCGATGTTTTTCGGAACGCTTCTATTGCCGCGACTGTAAATTTCCCGTCATTTCAGCCAAAATAATTGCCTAGCGACGTATAGCTGACCGCGTAGTAGATCGTGAACTATTAAAAACTATCAAAAACAATTACAGTTCAAAATTTTGAAAAGAATTCGCCCATAAGCTTTTCTGTATTTAATGTGCCTTTTGCCGTAGATGAAAGCATTCACAATCGAGTTTATGCCATAAAGCTCGTAGTGAACAACCACGAACCAAACCTGTTGGCATGAATCACCACAAAACTCGTAAAACACGACCCCGATGGCTGTTGGTAGAAGGCAGCAGATCGCCAACACTGTAATAACAATAGAAAATGTTTTCGCTTCTGTAAACGCCTGGAAAAAACGAAGTACAAGTCTCATACTGCCTGAATGTTCGTTGTGGTTGCTGATGCCAGCGACCATGGATTCATCTAAGATTCTTCGGCGTTGTTTTCGAGATACATTTAGCATCGCAAGATTCAGGAAGAATATTATAGTAAGAAGAACAAAGAGAATAACTTCTGCATAGTGATAAGTTGTGTCAGTTGTGTGGCATAGACCTTTGAGTCTACTGTCAGAAATCCAATTGCGAGCATAAAATATGGCGTAAACACAACAAGCGATTAGCCAGGCTGCGAAAATAACCAGAAAGACTCGTCGACGTGTCACAATCAGAGGATATTTCAGAGGTTTTACGATATATAAATAACGATCAACAGTAATTGCGAGAATTGTAGCCACTGAAGCAAACATCAAAGACCAGATCGTAGAACGACTTAACTTACAAAACAAGTCCTGATCACTCTCAATGTTTAATATACTCTGAATAAACTCGATGATCCATAGTGGATAAAATGTTAAACACACGAGAAGATCCGCCATTGCCAAGTTTGCTATCAAGTAAGATGTCGCTGTCTTTTCTTTACACAACAAAATTGTGTATATTATAACTGTGACATTTCCCAATACTCCAATAATCATCGCGATAAATTTAAAAGCAACTGAAAAGATGAGAACACTTCTGGCAATTGGAACGAGAATTGTGCTGTTAGTCATTTCAGTATTTATATACAGTCATTTTTGGCGTTTAATGTTGTATACTGCAGTGAATGATGTTGTATACCGCAATTATATTACTTTAAGGTTGGAATATACACCTGTACGTCGAATATCAAGTGACAACATAGTATAAGTGCATGGTTTTAATATTCTTACTAGACAATAATTTAGCATATGAATAAACAAAAAACAAACACACATTTGGGCGTAATGGATATCTCGATGAAACACCTCAGCCAATAATTGTACAATGCATTTATCGGCATGGATCGAACTTACATCTCTAGGATTCCGAACCAGTGACCACTATAAGCTACAGAGAACGTCGCTTCTGGGGGAAGGCGTAAATTACATATATAAAGCTGGTTTCCACTAGCAATATTTTTTGCGCACGAAGCGACTTTATTCTCTTGTATTTGGGCAATTTGTTCCAGATGGTTGCAGCTGATCGAGAGCTCTGATACAAAAGTAAAATGTCGCTTCGCGCGAAAAATATCCCAAATGGAAAACCGGCTTAAGGGCGGTTTTCCACTAGGCGGAATTTCGACTAGTCGACCGAACGAAAATTTTCGCCCGACTTTCTTTTCAATTGCGACCGGTGAAGGAAATCCGCTACGGTCAAATTCTCACAATTGAAAAGAAAATCGAGCGAAAAATTAAGTTTAGTTCAAAAACTCCTCCTATAGTGGAAAACCGGCTTAAATTCGATTTTCTTTTTAATTGTGACCGGTGAAGGGGGTCCGCTACGGTCGGATCCTCATACCTCATAATGTACATACGGCGGCATGTACATTTTACCAGAATGCATTGCAGGCATTAAGAATGATTGGCTGAAAAAAGATGGCAAAGAAAAACTCCTAATGACGTGAAATTTTAAGACAGCGAAGAAAATAACTTCCTGTTTTATGCCTGTGCCTTAAAAGATGTCAGTTCGCTTTTTTAAACGATTTCCGGCCGCATTGCATTTTGGTAAAATGTACATCCGCCATCTTTTTTGTTATGATCAATTGGAAAGAGAAGCAAGCGAAAAATTTCGCTCGGTCAAAAAATTCCGCCTAGTGGAAAACCGGCTTTAGATGTTAGGGTAGTGCGGAAAACAAATAGACACACGGAAATTTTCCCGCCGAAATTGACAAGGGTTGTAGTGTGGTGAGAATTTGCAATTCAATATTTAAAAATTCAACAAATAATCTTTTTGTTAAAGCCCCCGTCAAACGAAAGTCACAAGAGTTGATGAGACCTGAGAAGTGAGAGTTTGCGGATTAAACACTCCTGTGATGGTCAAACGAGGATGAGAGGTCATGGGTCCAAAGGCATAATTCACACAGTCACAGTCCATGGGTTACACAGGGCATGCATGTAGTAGTCAAGTCAGACTTGCTTTGCGACAAAACCTTGAATAGCCCAAGGTGGCCCATGACATAGGTTTCTAGGCAAGTTTGGATTCTGTTATGTTCTGTCACATACCCGGGTGTAATTCCTAATCTTTGGGCAGAATTTAGTACCCCACTCCGCATTGGCTTGGGGATGATAAAATAAAATTTACTCAATTGTTTTAATTAAGAATTATTCAGATCTTGGTAAATGTTATATGCTTCAGCTTTGCTTTGGTATATAATTTACATTCACCTTGGTCTGAATAATTCTTCATATCATGCTCAGTCTCATCCAATAATTCTTTATTAAGCTTCATTACCATCTAATTATTTATTGTCTGAATTGCATTTGATGCAATGAAAATGCGACTTATAACCTGGGCCAAAGATATGAAAATACATAAAATCATTTCATTTTGTATTATGCGAACTATTCAAACGCATGGTTGACTGCATGTGTTATAGTTTGAGCACCATTCCAGAAAATGTGGCATTCCCTTTAACACAAACCTCTGGCGCAGTGTTCTGAATTAAATAGAACAGCTATAGTAATATATGTACAGCCTGCAGTTGCCAAAATGAAGTACTCCTAAGTCCTAAAATTTAGTCAGTAGATCCTGCTTATGCTGCTACCTAGGAGTGCCAAGTATAGGTATCCTGCTTATCTTACCTGGAAAAGGTCCTTTTCCGGGGGGTAGAAATATTGTACCATAAAATCCATCTCCCTCAACGGTGCACCGAGTCACGCCAGTACCTATGAAACATCTCTCTAATGTAACGCTCGCAGCTGCGACTCCAAATTCATCAAAAACATCTATAATCACGTTTAATGGGACTGTCACGTTTCGTTTAGTTAGAAAATCGTGTTTATCTGCATTAGTATCGGGCTTCATACTCCAAAATAAACCCATCGGTTCGACACCAGTGTAGGAACCACCAAGCGAAGCTTGGGAGGAAACCAACACTTCTCCATTGCGATTTGCCCTGTATTTTGCCGTTGATACGAATAACAAATTATTGTCATCAACAGTTCGAGCTTGCAGAGTGACCATTTCGTCGGGGCGTAGATTACTTACAATAATATCCACTTTCTCGTCGACCAAAGTTGTCAGAGAGGGATTGACGTTAATTTTTTTCGATTCAGACATATACAGGCAGAGAAGGTAGGTAGCCTCTGATATAGTGGACAAGGAACTGCGTTGTGCAAATCGCTAAACGCGAGATAAATAAAAAAATTAATAATCGTTCACATTCTTGAGAAGCTTCGCATTAATTGTGATTGTTTTTATTGTATTGAATACATGATTGTACACATGTACAGTGTGATATCAAAATATGCATGTGTAAAACCACCCCAAGCACCCCCGCGCGCTCGCCTTTTTCCACTTGACCTCGATACAATATCTGAATGCAACGTTATATATAACTTATATTAACTATCAACTATGCACCGTCTTCAAACATTTTAGCGTAAAATGTGGTATAACAACTGCGTAAAATAGACAAAACACTTCTTGACGTTTCGACCTGAGAGCTTTTGTCAGAAGAGTTATTATGAAAATCAAGTCGAACCGTCGAGAAGTGTTTTGTCTATTTTAGGCAGTTATTATACCAGGGTACTAGACTGAAACGAACCTATTATAAATAATATACATTCATTAAGTATTGTATCTCTATCCATACTATCCCATGTAGAATGGAACTAAAATCATATCAGTGCCCGGACTCGGAGGCCGCATTTCATTAAGCGCGCTACAGAATCGACCAAGGATTAGGGTCTCAAGGTTTGTGTGGATATAGAATTTAGGATTAAGAAAGAAAATATTAAGAAAGAAAATATGAAGTAGAAACAAGTGCCTATTACTACCCGAAGATAACTCTATCCATTGAACCACAGTGATTGAACCCAGTAATACTTGGGAAATAAAAATCATTGATTACCATAAATGGATCAAAGGATTCGGATTTCGTAACATCGAAACCCCAAAGCTTCATACAGCTCAGTGAACGGATGAACCAGGATGAACGGATAAGATTACGCTACGGATTAGAAGATTCTTTAATCTTTGTTACGTAACATAACGTAAGATTTCAACCAGCAAGAACCTGTGGCAAGATTCAAGAACCAGCATTGTAACATGTGACTGATCAATCATCATCATTGATGCAATATATTGTTTAAACAAAAATATAAAGCAATATAAATACATAAGCATGCATGGATTGATGTTGTACGCTCGACAATGCAGGCAGCTCTGTAGTAGAATATTCGTTTTTAAACACAAGAGCAACACAATATCACCTTACGTTCGCCTTGGTCGTCTAAATGTGGCTTTAATACCACAAATAGATCGACATTGTTATCGTTTGATGTCACAAGCGTCCAAAGGAACCGATGATGCACGACCTGGTACAGAACGAGATCTCTCTTCACCGGAAAATGACAAGGATTTATCAAATAAAACGGGTAGACAAAAGTTAAGTTTGGTGTTCGCAAAATATGGTGTGACAGCAGTTGTGTTTCATACTTTCATATCACTCACATCGCTTGGGTTATGTTATATTGCTGTTAGTAGGTAAGTGGTTAAGACCAATTCACTAAATTCACTTTAGTCATTTGCTCTATCCTACCAAACTAATCTGATTAGCGCTGTCATGTGGCACATATGCTAATAATAATATTTAAAGGGAAATGGTGGCCCCCAGCTCTTTGAAGATCATTAATGTCACCAAAAAATTTAAATCCTGTGGCTGTTGGGCAGATGAAAGTAATATTTACTGAAGTGCAGAGAGTTTCCTATTTTCCCTCCAAAAACATACAGGAACTAGCATTGTTTGTTCATGACTGTCATACATCATTTTGATTTGGTAGTTAATCTGGTCCTGTTATTGGTGGCATATCATCTTAAAGGTTGGGCATTATGCATGATTAGAGGCCCTTGGAACACCTTGCATTTTCAAAGTGCCTTAGGAAGGCATAAAATTTTCTCTGTATCTTAGGAAGTTTTACAATTTTGCATTAAATCTTTAGATGTAATTGAACTATAATGTTTTTAATATTTCTTCTATTTTTTTTTGTACAAGTGGCCTTGATATTCCTGGCTTCCTTATGAAGATTGGAGCAAGCGAGAGCTTCTCAACATCAGTTGCTGCGAAGGGTGCAAGCACATTTGTGATTGCATATGCCTGCCACAAGATGTTCATGCCTGTTAGAATCTTTATGACTGTTACTTGTACACCATTGATTGTTAATAGGCTGCAAAGACTTGGAATAGTAAAGGCAAGATAGTGTAAGACTGAGACATCAAGTAACTTTCTTGTTCTTGTAGTTAGTTTGATGTGGAGAACTTGTGAGAACTGACTAGTAGGTAGAATAAAATGAAATAATTTGATACCCACCAGTAGCATTTCATATGCAGAAGATTTGACCTATTGCACGAGAAAACTTGAGAGAACTATTTTTCTTCAAATTCATGGTTTAGGTATATAAGTGCTGCTAACATCTTCAATATTTCTTTTTGTTGCATGAAAGTGACACAGGCTAAAACTTATGTTTAAGCCTAAACGCCCAAACCTTAGGCGTATATATGTATGTTGCTTCGTAAAAGTTGGCAAACACGCTTTATATTTCATGATTTTCATCCCATTTCTCCCCTCATTTTTTAGTTGCATTAAGACAAAATTGGCCTTCGAAATTGATGCAGATAGTTTGGCTTCCATTTTGGAAAATATCTCATACCGACATAGGCAGCTAGGGTATAGGTCCAGTTATGAAGTACTCTGGATTCAAGTTCAGATGCTTTGAGTTTAAAACAAATTTTCATTGTTGACTCTGCAGTGTAAGATTCATATAAATTCAGCATTATTACACAGCCCACCTGAAAGTGAAATATGTTACACTCCACAAGTGTCTACAATTTTATGATATGTATAGTATCATTTTATAGGGTTCTTCACCTCTTTCACTGTGAATGTACACAGCCTGTTCAACTTATATATAAGATTGTATATTCATTATATACCAGTATATAAGTCTACGTAATCTGTTACTATGCAGCATTGTTTTAAATGTAATATGTTATTTTTAAGTTTTGTAGTACCAGGTGGTCAATTATTGAGGTGTGTTACACCTCCTCATTTTGTAGTTGCCAAATTTACATTTATCAAGGTAGAATTGTATTGTGAGTGGCCTTAATACAGGAAGCTGAAGTAATTATATTAGTAATTACCAAATGCAGATTAATTTAGATTAGAATACATTGAGTGATTTGAAGTCACGAGTGAAATCTTGAAGAAGATGAATTCAAATAAAAATACCGTCAATGCAAGCCTCAGATTCAGAATTCATGTCACTGAAAGTCTTTTAATTGCAGCAAAAATACATTAACACAATCTTAATTATCTTTACTTCATTATGTCCTGATTCTTCTTTACTAAATAGATAGGTTATGTTTCTATCAATCAACAAAATGGACATGCATGCTCCTATCAAACCAACAAATACAATTAATGTTCAATCATGAAATAGGAATGTGTAATTCTCTTGGGTGCTTTATTATTTAGGATGCCATATTTTCCATGTTCACAAAACTGACCCCTACATTCCGAGCCAACGAGCAGGAGTAAATGATTGCGTCTCCAATTAACAGTGCCATGGATACAAAACCAAACGCCTAGAAAATTAAAGCCTTTAGAATAGTTGAGAATTGTCAGTGTACTAGGTATATAGGTAAGCAAGTCTGTATAGAACCATGGTGCCCCATGCCCTAATTAAAATGTTGTATCATGTGATCATATGCATAGGCAATAGCTAGCCCATGTAGTGATAATCAATTATTGGAGAACGTCAAGTAAACAATTGTGATTTGTCATTTGTAGGTGGTGAGCAGATCAGTTTTTTTGTGGGTACCTATAAGGCAGAGCTTGATAGCAGGCTTTTAGGTGATGACAGACAGGCACCAGTGCTTGCATGCTTGAATATTTCCAAACCTCTAGAGTCTGCTGTTCATTGATACTCTTAGCCTGCTCAGTTTTGTAAAGTCTCTTATCATCTTGTTAACTGCTAATGCAATTGTTGGACAATATAATGTCGAATGATTTTAAAAATCTCAGCAGCTTTCCTTAGCCCTTGCACGTGAAAGAGGTGTCATAATCTTGACTGTTGAAATGCCACATCTTTTTTTGACAATCTACTGCATGGCTTTAACTGAACTTTTTACGTGCTGAGCCTAATTTTGATGAGCTAAACTCTTTGTTTAAATTTATTTGCATTGGGTTCAACGCATAAAATATTCCCTGGCCCTAAGAATAATAATAATTAAGTTATGTTCTAAAGTTATATTCCTGTCAAAACAACAAAATTCACGCGAATCCTATTTCATGTTATCCTTTCAGCGAATGTTTTGCTAACTCGTTTTGCATATCTTCTCGCTCAACTTCATGGTATATTTTAGCAATTGATATGTTTGTTTCGAAAGTTGTTTAATACCTTGCTGCTAAAATTAGAATAGATATCTGAATTACTATTTCACATGACGCGATACTTACCAACCCCATGGTAAGCTGATAACATCGGGAATTTTTAGAGTAGATATCCAGAAACTTGCACAAATGTTTGGACTCATATCGCATGTTCGTCTTTGCGAGAAGTGACCCCGAGACCAGCAGAACAAGCGCAGAATATGCATGAAACGTCGCAATCTATAAGAGCAAAACAAAATACATCAAGCCAAGCGCAGTCGAATGGACAATTTGCATGATAGGCGAATTATTTATTGTATTAATACGCGAATTATTTATTGTATTAATCGCAAATTTATTGCGTTCGACGAAGGAGAACGCTTCCTATACATCATAACGTCACGGCTGATGCTATATCGTTTTGAGATTTTTGTGGGTCATTTGCCTCGCTTTCGTGTTTTTGCGTTTGGATTCGGGCTTTCGTGTTTTTGTGTTTGGATTCGGGCTTTCGTATTCGCCTGTTTATTAAGAAGTTGTCAGAATGGTGTAGATTATTTTGATCTTGAAATATGAGTGAGGATTCTTATCAAAGCATTGGTATCTTGCAGTGTTTTAACGATGAAAAATCCGACAAACGCACCAAACGCACTGGCTAATCTTTGATTACTTCTAGTATATAAAGTTTTTTAGTACCCGCGGAAATTGTTAACACTAGTACTCTTGGGTCAAAAACGTAAGACAGTGTAACTTATTATTAAACAACGGCTGAATTTGACTTTGAATTTCGTGATACATACGCTTGCAGCGTAGTGAACCGTATCTTGTAGGCCTGCGATTGCAATCACCAATGAGAGAAGAGCAACGAAAAATCCTGTACCCAGACCGAAAAGGAAGAATTCTTCCCTCCCGTAAACTCCAGAGTCAAAGATAGCCCCGATATCGACATTCGTTCCTGATTTTTCGCTTATGTCGATAATGGTTTTGTCGAGCTGGTCCATAAAATACCCCACTGATCCGGCAGCAATGACAAAAGCAACCTGAAGTTACAACAGAAATTAACTCGTTACCCTTGAAACGCTCTTGTTTAAGGTGGCTCGATACAGTTTTAGATGCACATTTTAAACAGGGATATTATAGGCATCTAAATGCCTGGCTAGAGGACTAAGGACCGGGCTGTTTACATACGCCCGGTTACCCGAGATTCAACGAAGTGTGTGATGATTTTGAGGTATTAAAATTAATTGTAAAACTGTGAAACAAAACAAGCACTTGGTATTGTCGGGGTCATTACACGATTGCCAAGATCATGTTATTTACCCATTCCAATAATTCGAAGTCATCTGTTGCCTCGTTGCATGAATCTCGGCTAAGCGGGATCATGTAAACAGCCTATAAGAGTTGATATACTTTGCATGAAACATATCTAGAGTGGCAATCCATTCAGAACTTGTGCCTTCCATTCGTTATCATGGTAACAAAGACCTTTTTAAAAATTTCCAACAAATAGAGTTTAATCGTGTTTATATCGCCAACGAGTTCAGTGATCCCGATTTTTTTCTCCGTCAAACGTTTACACTATAGTGTTTTATCGAAAAAAACTTTGTAATGACTAAAGGGCGTCGCGTGCACTTCTTATTTAGATTTATATTATGAATGCTAAGAGCCCCAGGCACCACTCTCCTCTGCAGTTTGTGTCAGCCTCAGTTTGTACGCGATCGGTGACGTCACGGAAACATAAAACACGTGCAATGAGGCATCGGGACTGGGGGGATTTTGTATTGTAAAATATTGAAATGATAGCGGGCAGACGGGCAGGGGCAGACGGGCGGGAGCAGACAGACATTTTAATACTTACGCAAAAGCCTCTCTAGCTTAGAGTGTCCGGGAACACCTTAAGTCTTAACTTAGGTCATGTAATCAGGTCGTTTCAATCATTTCGGCTAATAAACTTTAAGGTCACGAAGATTATGAGTGTTGTTTTGGATTTTCCGGGCGTTTTAAGGTTGTGTAAAGTCATATAGTTACGTAGTAATAACAAGCTGTTTAATTGTCATACCATTTCTGCTATTGCCAGTAAAACCAAGACAACCCGTTTACAATTGTTTGCCATCTCTGAACCTACATTCATATTATAGTAGATTATCAGTATATATCATTATTTTTAAAATGTAGCTACTCACAGTACACATATATACATACGGTATATAAATTGTCCTCGAGCTGGCGCAGAGCACTGTACAAGGGTAGCTATACTAACTTCCACTAGAGCTATTAAACTCCCGCGTATTTTGACAGAGGGAACATAGCCGAATACACAGGGCGCTTTCGTTTGAGCGGCGAAAATGGACAAATTGGTCATATTTTGAGTTGAAATCGAGTATTTTGTTAAAAAAACGGTCACTGAATTCCAAAATGTAAATAACGATATACTTTCGATATACTTTTGAAATACTCTAAAATACCAGCCTCGTACCCAGTCGCTTTTGTATAGTAAACCATTTATTTATGAGCAACCGTATATCGATAAAGAACCTTTTACGGACGAGCGGTATACGGATAAGCGAGGAAAGTAAAATTTTGTACAACTTGCTAATTCATTTCAGAAAACCCTGTAACTTGATTTTATTTTTATTCACCTGACAAACATATTTCGCACAGAAATTAGAACGCTGGAACCAAGTATGTCAAAAATGTTAAAATACAATTTGGCCCCTTTTGGCTTTTTTTAAAAAAACATTAAATTCAAAATTAAAATGAAATTTTGCTTTATTGAGTAACTTTTGACCTGTTTTAAACGTCATTCGGCTCTGCACATGCGCCGAAGCGTACCAACCCGATTTCAAATACTTAGAATTTCCCTTTGCTCTTCCTGGAACTCACGACGGAATGCCGGTTAAGTGGTTAAAAAAGCAAATCTAATGCATGCATTGCAACACTTATGTAGCTTACTTTTAGTAGCAATTCAACAAGAACAACTGCGTATTTTACCAAAACCCTTCATTTATTGTGATAAATTTTTAAACATAGGCATAGCGCTGCGGTGAAGATCAGGCTTTGTTTCGCTTTCGGTATTACCAATGCTGATTTACTGAACAATTTTTAACAATTAGTAAAACGAAAGTAGGAACATAACACACTTTTACTTTGTCAGAAACAGTAAAACAGATACAAACTGTGCGTTATCGCTGTAGTAGCGGCGTAAATGAAGCTTTACGCTTGGGAGATCATTGTTTACAAATGAACATATATTTCGTATTTACTATGTCTATGACTTGTATACTCTGGGCAAGTCCGCACTGTAGTTTCGCTAGCGAGAGCTATGCACTTTGTTTGGCTGTAAAAGACGCCGTTAAAATATTATATTTTCTACAGAAACCTAAAATAGACAAATAGTCCGCCTTGAATTATCAACACTTCTGTTGGAAACAAATATTCCACTCGATATATCAAACTGACAAACTTGGTTTGACTTGTGTATAAATAGACAGTGTATATACATTCTTTATGTCATGCATTTGAGGTAAAATTTCCTTCGGTATGAACAACTATACTTTTTGAAGTACAGTTTGGGTCTCTTACCTTTTATCCTGTTGTCAATCTGATAATTCTAATTTCACTTTTACCTTGTAATCTTTAATCTATCTTCCCTCGCCCAGCGCAATGTTCACTGTATAACCAAGCCCGTATGATATTTCAACATTCCCAATAAAATGCGCATGTGCAATTCGCCAAAGTACGAATCGTCTAGAAAAATACGGCGCACCAAAACAGAGTAAAAGTTTACGCATTATTAAATTTGGCAAGAAGTTCCACTCTGCATTTTTTGAGCAAAAGGCTAGTTGCATCCTCGTTCCTGAGCGAGCAGCCGAGCATGTGTTTGCGGTGGGTTAATACTGTAACGCAAGGCTTCATTGTGTTTAGATATATGCATATAAAAATAGCTGTAAAAATAGGAATATCAATAGCATGACAGGGATTAGTGAATGATTTTTGCCACCAGACGCCTGTGTAAATATAATTTCCGGCCCATTCGCAATCATTGATCACATTTCCTTTCATGCATGACATTTTGTGGGATTGAATAAAGTAGTAAGGTGAAAATATCAATCAACCTGTCAGAACGTGCGCATCTGGATCAACAATCGTATGTCGTTGCCAAGTTTAACTGTCACATTTAAAAATATGCATGCTGGAGGCAGCTGCGAAGGTCTTGTGAATCAACTGTGTTTTTTATAATGCGCGGTCGACGGGTCGAACATTTTAAGGATTACGTCAGAGAAAGCTTAATTCGATTAAAATAGTGGAATAAATAGTTAAGTTATAAAATAAGGTTCACAGAAACAATGTTTGATAATTTTAATGCTTGTTGATGATAAATATTCCCCGAGCGGGCGCGGAGCGCCTGCGAGGGTACTAATTCCGCTCGGAGATTAGGAATTACACCCGGAACCCGGTAGAGCATAGGCGAATCCAAAGTTGTCCAAATTCTTTGTCATGGACGGTCGACGTTGGGTGGTTTTGTAAGTTATGCGCATGCGCGAGTAACGTCTGGTAATCAACGAACGTTCTGATTGGTTAAGACAAAAAGTTTGTATTTCAATGAGAACGTCAGCAATTTATATTAACTGTCATTTCCGCGTAAACATTTTTGTAAAAGCGTTTCATAAACTTTGTGCAAAGAAAGTAAAACGAGAAGAAACATGACATATGAAGCATGGCAGATAGCAAAGATGAACGTGGATACGGTCAAGACAAAGCCATGTAAGAGGAATAATTCATAATCTGCAAACTTATAAATGTTTTCAAAGACAAAGGGTACGTGTTTACTTTGTTTATTTCGTATTTGTTTCGCGGTAAAGATGAGCTGTATTTGTATACTTTTTAGCTTTGTATGCCGTTTATTTGTTAAATTTTCAGCTTTTTATGCAAATGCATAAACCTGTGAAAGGCCATTACACCTTTGCTTTAACTTCAAAAAAGTGTTTTTTAAAGTGTAATTTGAATTTTGGTATCAAAAATACACACTATATTTATAAAGTATAAAATTCTTAGCCGCCTGCGTCGACTGCAAAATACAGAATAAAATAACATTTGAAGTTTTTTCTTTGTCTGTGAAGATTTTGTACTGTTTTAATCGTTTGAAACTTCGATTTTAAACCGTTACTTAATTGTTGGCATGGTATAATGCAGCAAAAGTGAACGGGCAATGTTTACACTAGCTTTATGATTATTTTTGTATTGAATGATGGAAACATTAGCTATAATATACTCGGTAAAATATAATAAGACTGATTTGAGTTTATTGTCATTTCATAATATAAGTTTAGGTCAGGTTAACTCAGGAAATTGTGTACTTGGTTTGAAATAGCGAGGGGTTGCTGCATGCATGTATTTCTAGTTTAAGTTGTGAACATTTGAAAGTATTGATCAATAGAGCTAAAGACCAACTCGACTAGTGCGTCAACGCCTTATACAAACAAGATATGAGAGCTGGAACGAGCTTCTAACGCCAACCCACATTTCTAACTAACAAGTCTATCATTTACACTGTTCACTTTAAAATTAAGTCCTCTAACGCCTGTATTAAAGCTCGCTCTTTTCCGTGGTATTTTCACTAAAATAAGAGCTTGATTTTCAATGTTTCACCTTAAATCTTTCCATTGATTAAGAAACCCTCTCGCATTTATCATCGATAACACAATTTCTATGTTACACTCAATTTGCGTGACTGCATGAGCTTTTTGAACACAGGCGAAAGACTTTCTCTTTCTGGTGTATAATTTCCATGTTTATGATCAACAATATACGCAACGATTTTTTTGCTTCTATTTGCTGACATATTATCAAAGTGTTTGCATTATTACGCAACTAAAACGCCCCATTCTTATCTCTATATATATATCTTCTGCGCTGCCGTGAAATATTCAAACACCGGTTTAAACTAGCCTAGTTAATAGGGCTTCTACCGCCGTTAATTAGTTACCCGGAAAAAGCAGGGACACAAAGCAGGGAGCGAAAGGCCTAGATTACTAGGCTAGGTTTAAACATGTTTGAAAAGAAATGAAGTTACAGATTTGGAGCTAACAATTATGCATATGAAAGGTAACCCCAAAATTAAGAATACTAAGATTTCATCCATATTATGCTCAACAATGGGCAATTTTAGATCGATTTTTTTGTCTCTTGTTCATATAGTATTTTCAAGCTTCGTTTCAAGCCATTTTTTCCTTTAGTTATATGTAAATAAAATTCTCTTTTTTATTCACTGCAGCAAAATTTAAAAATAAGTGCGATGATGGGGACCGCGGCTGCAACTTTTCTGACCGAATTAAATACCATTGCCATTGCAGTCGCCACCATTGCCACCAGAATCTACGCCATCTCCACCAAACCACCCATGAGAATGATGAGATGTTAATATTATAAGCTGGCTAAAAAATCAAAGAACAAATGCTTGTCGTTTATATCTCAAAGCAAGTTTTGAAAATAACCAATCGTATCATAGGCGCCCCAGAACTGATCTCGCTGACCTCGCGCGACGCTCATGTTGTCTGAACAGTCTTATATTATGACAAGGTAGGCAACTCTCACGCCAAATAAGCTAAAAACGGACGCCGGTTAACTCAAACACTTTCACAAAACCGCAAATATTTCATAAAAATATGGCGAATAAGAAAAAAAAGTACAACACATTAAACTTGAATAATTTTACTACATTTATACGATATTTTTAGCATTCAAATGTATTCCTATGCATATAAAAAACGTGAATGTTTTTTGGGTTTCTGGCAAATATGTTTCAAAACCTATGCTGCATGGGGACACCAAACCTATACCTTCGTCATATTTCTAAATTGAAAATAGAAAGCTGATTGGCTGTCGTTTTTTCAGTTGGAAAAGAGCCAATCAGCTTTCTATTTTCAATTTTCTCAAGATCCGGGCGCCTCAGAAGATTCAAGAATTCCTCTGGGGTAATCATCCCATCGCGTACCTGTTCAGTGATGTTGTACCTCAGTGTGAAGTTTATTTTAACGAATTGCTGGGATTGGTCATGTTCAAGTGCTTTGAGAAGACGTTGCTACTGTGGTACCAAGAGCAATAAAAGACTCGATTTTGTAGTTTACATAACAACTTCTCAGTTTATTTAATATGAACCACAATATAATACATCGCATGCCTATTTCAGAAAATTAGTCAAATCACTGAGTCGAATACGTATATCGAACGTTTGTCCTTTTGTTATTGGATTACCGCTGATTCCGGTACTTCATGTCAGTGTAGCTGCAGTGGGTGCCACACTACTACAGCCCGTGTTTTCCTAGTCTCATTTTTTCCATCATTAACATGTTTACCGTCACTGCCAAAAAACACCACTTCCACCGTTTCCATCATTTCCTGCAGTTCCACCCTTAGTCCTTACCAGCGTTTCCACCATGCCCTCCGTTCCCACCATCACCCCACAGAAATCCTTTTAGAACCGTTCAAAAATTTCCGCCTTACCGTTTCTACCTGAATGCATTACCACCGTTACCGCCATTCCCACAATTTCCTGCACAAGAATGACACAGAGAGATGATCCAGGTTACTAACCACAATAATAGTATGCGCTAAACTTTCATTTCGAACTTTTTATTTCTTATTTGTATTGAGTATATTTACTGTCGTGGAAGCGACTCTTCTCAAGCAGACTGAGTCGATTGTGATTTGCAGGTAAATTTGCATAATTTTAAATTCATGCGTCACTAACGAAGCGCACGTTGCGATTTCTTATTGGATCATACCAAACACAATCAGTATTATTGATTCATACCAAACACATACATAAATTTTGAAGAATATATTTACCTATTCACATGGCCGTAGGAACCACGGGGGCAATTTTTAGAGGCAGAGGGCTAAGCCCCTTTGAAAATTTAAATTTCTTTGCAAATCTTAAAGCGTTGCGCAGTGCACACCTTCTGAGTTTGCAATAATTACTATAGTCTAAAGGTATAGCGCAGAGAAAGATTGAATCTTTCTTTGCCACAACTACCACTCTTTTTACAAAACTCTGAAGATCTAGATGCCGGAAATAAATTTGGTAAGTTCACAACAGTGACCTTAGCTAGCGTTACCTCGCACTCGCTCGTATGCATGCATTGATGCATACAATTTAGTCGGCTGCTGCGTCCTAAAAAAATGAGTGTTTTTTCGTTTTCTTTTGCTATGAAAGCTGTACATCTTCATACATCTCAATATACATGAGCATGTCTTATTATATCTTAAGGAAATTAATAATACATTACACAATAATATTATATGATGAATATTTTATATGATGAATTATATGATGAATAATTTAAGTAGTGACCCCCAAAATGCAGAAAAAAGGTTTTCTAGAGGGTTGAAATTTGACCCCCCTACATGCGTCCAGACGATTAGCCCCCCTAACTTTAAAGATCTTCCTACGGCCATGCCTATTCAGCTCTATACGGGTGCATGTTTGAATTATTCCGTGCTCAGAAAATTCGACGCTTTTTGTTTTATGAACATCAGAAATTTAAAGTCTGACCATAATAACGGACCCAAATCTAATCGTATAAGTCTATTTCTTATATATACGTTGACTTGTTTTAAGAACACATTTCACACATTTGTCGACATAAGACCTTGAACAAAAGACTCAAAACTAGCAGCTACGTTAAAAAGGTTTTTTTTACAACCCAGGACATATATCTTTGAGACAATTTGATAAAATACTAGAGGATAGTTTAAAATCTGGTTTTTCTGATACACACTGTGTGTATCGTTGTCTGCCTGAGTTTACGAAATACTTTGTTTCAAAGAAAATATAAAGCATAACAAGCGATATGGAAGCGGATATACCACCGCTTGTTTTGGACAGGGGCGTAGTTAGAACCATAATTTGGGGAGTGGGGTGTTCATATATTCAGTCCTGCCCGACGGATTTCTATTGTAAACTGTTGCACTTAGAGAAGAAATCCGTCGGGCAGAACAGAATATTTGTATAAACACCCCCCCCCCCAATTATCGCTCTAGCCACGCCACTGGTTTTGGACTTTATGGCGATATCTTTCGAACTTAAACGTAATAACACCAACGTAATAACTGCGTGTACATTCTTGTTTTTATTTTGGATATCAAGAGCACATAATGTCTATTTTTAGATTTTGTTCTATTTTGTACTATTTGAATTTGTCACTATGACAATGCAACAGATGTGTTGTTAAAACGGAAATACCACGACGTCATACATTCGCATATTAGAACATATAAACCACTCCCCACGGTATAGTTAGTTATTCTTATCATCGACACAACCGCGAGAAGAACTATACTTCAAAACACAAGACAAAATTAAAATTATAAATATCAAAAGAATGCCAAAAGAAGACTCTATGTCAATAGTTATTCGCGTAAAGATAAAGTTGTTCTCATTGCGTAGTCATATGACAGTGCCAGTGGCTCGGACCATTTGATCGTTTGTGATTCCTTGTATTTCAAGGATATGTATTCCTTGATACTGTGGTTAGTGACGGCATCTCTAATTCTTGTTACGGTTGCACTTGAGTGTGACAAAGGTCAATATAAGAGCGATTTTCTGAGTGGCGGCTGTGCCGCTTGCCCAACAACATTAGAGCAATGCGGAGATGAGGAGATCGATGATGCCCGACGGTGCTTTTTGGCATGTGGTAAGTAAATTATTGTTTCATTATTGTTTTAAATCGATGTACTGATTGATAAACCTCATGTCTATTAACTGACTCTACCACTGATGTACTTTTGAGTTAAATGAGGTAAAACAACTGCTTAAAAAGACAAAAAAATTCTCGACGTTTAAGCCTAAGGCCAGGGCCTTCGTCAGGAGAGTTGAACTATACTTAAACATCAAGTCTTAAGACTAGGATGTTTATGGGATTTTTGATAAAGCTGATTGTTTCGAATATCAAAATTTTTATACTCGTACAATGTGTAAGTAAAGCTTGGGGTCGTGTTGACATAATTTAATTGTCGTCATAATTTAATTTGCATATGACATCATATTCGTAATATTTTCTCTGCTGCAAACATTTCTTGTGTTTCCTTGGATATCGAACGAGAGTTACCAGACAACCATTTAAAACAATTACCTAAATCTATGAGCATCAATACATCGAAATTAACGTATTAAAGGGTTTAAAACAAATATATTAATGCCATAGTGGCGATGTTTGTTTTGATTGCGAGGGGAATCCCCTGATGGACTTGTTAGCATGGCAACAACAACATGGTGACGTGTAGTAGCTATGGAATATAGTCGAAACGTTAACTGGGTGACTGCAATGACCATCGGGTTCCTTTACCATTTCATAGAGTATGTTAATAAACCGTTTATTATTAGAGTTTTTTCGTTAACTAGGATTTAACGGCCAAGGCAAATCATATTACGAAACACGCCCATGTAACACCCACTCGTTGGCATTGATAAAGTTACGCCAGATATAAACTTGTTAATAAGAATGAACTGGCAAATATATTCCACCCCAAGTCATTTACCTTCTTGAAGCACTATGTTCCCTTCAATGTATACCTAGGTATATAGTCATTAACATGAGAATTTACCGAGATTAATATTCGCTGACTGGCTGTCTGTTCGAAAGAATTTGACCTTTGTACTACATACGTATTAATTCGGTCTCGAATTCGGTAATTGAGATCTTTTATAATCATTGACAACGTTAAGACGGCCAATTTTGTCTAACGACAGAACTTACCACTTATGGCACAAGTGAAGGGGATTTACGATATTAGACTATGGTATTTATTCATAGTGTCCTGGCACTATATCCGTACAAGCTTTTCGTGCCCGTCAGGCACTTTTAAAAGTGATTTTTTGAGCGGGGGTTGCACACCGTGTCCCAATAACTTGGAATATTGTAAGAACGAGGAATACAACGATTCGATACGCTGTTTTAAAGCCTGCCGTAAGTTACATGTCACTTTGATGTAATGATAAATATTTTATGTGTGTAGGCGAATTGATGAGTTATTTTATATGGCCGTAAATATTTGCTGACAAAATTGTTATTATGAACTTTGCTCTGTGGTATTAACATATGTATGATTGCATCAGAAAAATACATTTACAATTGGTCGCTTATAACGGGTAGTACTTGACTATATTTCTTTCCAATGTCTTCCTGCAGTATATAGACTCAGATTTCCGCAATTCTAACAGTACTAGTTTTGAAAATTTTTTAAGTGTATAGAGAAAACACTTGACTATAGGCAGTGTCGTGGGCGGGAGGAATGCTATACAGGGGGTGTAATATTACTACATGTTTGCTTTTCTACCTGGTCCTGGCTGATGCAATACTCATATTGATGTGATGAAATTTAATTTTTCAGTAAAATTTGTGCTGCTTGCCTTTGAATTCTTAACTCACCTGACCTGGCTTATCTTGATAATATCAAAAAATTTAACTTGAAGTACTGCGTGGGCATGCCACATTTTAATTGCCGCCTCTACTAATTGCAACATTCAGAAATATTCGTATAGACAATAGTATTTTTCCAGTAATTTATTCAGGATTTTTAAAATGCTGTTAAAGCTGCTAATTTCAATGTTTTCTTGTATATTCGAATAAGAAACCAAATTTAAATAAATTAAGTCCCTTAATTTAAGCCTGCTTATACCACTTGCGAATGTTTTAGCGCGAAGCGATCTTTCTTCAATTTGTCTTTGCCATTAGGGATTTTGAGGTTTGCCTCTGGTACGAAAGCAATCGCTTCGCAGGAAAACTATCGCTAGTATTTATTATTAAAACTTTTGCCTACAAAAACGTGTCGTCACCAAATATTCACCCCGCATATATATTTATAGCTTTACTCAAGCTGTGAATATTATTCTTCCCCCGCGCATGGATTAAAAAACGTTTGACAAATATAAATGAACCAGCGCAGTATTATATCTCTAGATTACATCACGCTTAAGGAATTTACAAAGCATTTCAATAAATATATAGCTACAGGGTGTTTCAAAAGGAACAAATAGAAATGATGTAGAATTCAATGGTTTATTTTTGTGCAGTCTGGAGTTATTTACTTCAGCACCGTTAGGTTTGAACTAAAATCCCACCCTACCACACGAAATCGCTTATTTAACTTTTAAACAGTTTGCTAGGTTAAAACACTAGTATAGCGTTAAACCGAGAAAACTGCGTCACGTACATTTGCATGTACGTCATATTCTCTTTTTTTTACGTTGTCCCCTGTTCCTCATTTATCAGCAAAACTGCAAACTGCAATCTAATACATGTTGTTTAGTTTAGTTGTTACTGTCTCGGTGTTTTCTTTCACTGTTTGATTAGCCTGAATGGCAAAGGCGGATTCAGAGTGGATAGAATTAAAATAGACGATTAATTTCCATTCATACCTTAACAACGTCGGTTTTAGTTATTAGTTACCAAAGAATATTTTGAAATAAGAGATTGCAATTTACCTTAGTCTGATTCCACCACTGGATTCCATGGCGGTGAAGAAAACTGTATAACTTCTTATTCACCACGTGTAGGGAAATTATTTACCACAAAGGCACCAATCACCAGCCCAACAATCCCAGTACTGGTGACAAAACCCACTACGACACCTCGTCCAATCACAAAATGGTTAATAACAAAACACTGGACGATAACCGATTTTGAAAAGTTCAAGAAGACACTTGTATTATCAACGCCAACTGTTCTGAGCAACAACAGCAACAACAGCAATGGCAATTCTATCGGTGTGATATTAGGCTTACTGATAGCAGTATTGATCTGCGTCCTAATTGGCATTTTCATGTCGTGGTTTATCTGGCAACTATACCAGAAAAACAAGAGAAGTAGTCAACAAGAGCCAAGACCGCCAAGTCCTTATTCAGCGGTAGATCAGTCGAACTCCAGGTTTGTGGTCTATATATTGAGAAACACATTGCATATTTAATTATTTCATTCCCCATCACAGAATTTTATTGAAACTTTACCAAATAAGCATCTATAGCGTAAACGTTTAGCGTGAAAAAATTGAGGGTCACCGAACTCGTTTGCGATATAAACACGATAATAGGCAAAAGTTTAGTATGTTTCCTGCAGAAGATTTTAACTTTTAGCCTTCTAGCAAAACATTTAGATGCTTAATATCTCTGTTTAAAATAGGTACTAAAAATTTCGAGAAACTGCATCGAGCCACCTTAAGTTATGCGATAGCGATATATAGACCTTTCTTATAATGACGTCAAACGCGGAAGTATGATATTATATGAAATTTGATTGGCTCCACAAAACTATCGAGCCAATCAAACTTTGTGTAACATCATCCCTACGCCTCTGCAATTTTGGGTATATTATATTATATTTACTAAGCTACGAAGAGCTCTGCCTTGAGCTAGAGATTGTTTAAGTGATGTTCCGGTAAAGTGTGGGTATATCAGGACCCGACTTCGAAAATCTAACATAGGACATAGAATTTCTACTGAAACATTAACATGCATACAGATGTTTTATCGACTTAAACCATCCCAGTCCTAACGTTTTTCTTCGACTGCTTGTGCTCTTTCGATTAACTTACTCCATGTCACAACCTGTAGTATAAAAATGAAATTAAAGTATCACAGGCACACAAAAAAAATATATTAACAGACATAATTTGTTAGTGCTTCTTTCTTATAGGATTGCTAACGACTGCATATACTCTTACAGTGGGCGGTACCTATTTTATTACTCCCTGAATATGTAGAATTTTATTACCATTGTTCTTCAACTGAAGATTCAGTTCTTTTTGGCCAGAAAATTTATTGATATCGTTACATTAAGTCAAGGAATTTCGATCTTAATGGTCATACACTTAAACTACAATTCACTTTAAAAGTATAATTATTTTTTGTGCCCTTCGACAGGCTTCGTTCGATTTTCAATTGAATAAAAAATTAAAATAAAACGCTGCCCTGGAATCGAAAAAGCGTGGGTTCGCTTTATTTTGAAGGACCTCAGTTGTGTTTGTCGTAACGGTTCGGTTATATATAAAATCTGAGAGGTTATTAAAGTAGCGAAAAAATCAGATAATGATTAAAATTTGCATTTTGCATAACTAAAATCGCACTGGCTTTGCTATTATGATTGTAATTTTTTTGACATGCATGATTATTTTCAGTATTGACGATGATATCCAAGAAGATGCCATACCCGAAGACTCAGTGTCTCGTGAAAATTTCAATAACTTGACCGAGACAACCCTGTAATGAGGCGTTGTTGATAGACAATTAAAAAGGACGCACATAATGTATATTGTTATTCAAAATAACGTATGTATCGCCATATTTTATCATAGTTTTAAATGTATAGTTTTGACACTGACATGCACCCAAGAGCTCACAGACAAAAGCAACCGTAACGGCATCAGGATTCAGGAAAGAAGAGCGTGGTTTGTTGCAAAATTTTGACAGCATTGAAGCGCACAAACCAACCCAATGGTTAATTCGGCTTAATCGCTAAACGACAATAATCGTCTTATTATCTATTGTTGGACTTTAATTCGAGGTATTTAACAGGACCAAAATGCGAAGTGTAAAGTTGGCACATTTACACAAGGGAAAATAAGCAGTGAATAAACAGTCAATTCGCAAAAAAGGGCGGTTCATTTAAGCCAAAAGTGCCTGAGCGTTTTGTACTGTATAAAAATAATGCTTACGTTTTCACTAGGCAATAAAATTCCTTCATGTTCTAAAAAAATGCTTTGGTTGGGCTTTTTAAACGCGCATGCGTATTAGAATGATGTTCTATCTGCTGTTTCCGTTGCCGTTCGGGTTGGTTTTACTTTAACTCTCTAGTATTTCACTCATACAACGTCTTGAATTTTAATTCCATCCAAAATTTTGGAATTATTCCACGAAACTTAAATTCTGATTGAGCTCATTAGGCGGGTGGATGTTTTATCACTAAGCGTATATAATATGAATGCAGGCATTCAGCGGTAATTTTTATGATGTATGCACTCAAATTGTAGTTTGAAATAGCGAAACTGCGAAACAAAAAAAAAACAAAAAGAAAAAGAAAGGATTAAAAAGTTAAAATAATAACCAATTACGTTCAAAAAAGGTTCAAATTTTTCACTTTCTCCTAAAAACAGTGAAACTGAAACAAAGGAAAAAAACGAAACCAGTTCTATGATAAGGAAATGGAAGTGAAACTTTGTTGTAAACTCTGGTCACAGAGTCGTTTACGAAATTTGCATTTTTCGTTATCACATAACTTGTCATTTTTCGCCGTCTTGGCTAATTGTACCATATTTCAAAGCGTTTATAAAAATGGATCGCGTAATTGTTAATATAATGCTTATATATCAACCAATATAGTGACAACCTTTAAAATAAACAGAGAGACGACATTTGAAAACTATATAGGACGTCAAATGCATGTCAAACTCAACGTATTCGAAGCTTGCAATTTTCTTGTTCCTGGCTAAACGTGTAGTTTCAGGCTTCTTAAAGTGCCAATTAGATTATCTTATCATATTTCAATTTCATGCACTTTCATTTTGTCAGAAATGTTCGCATGTACAATTTTATCAGATTGGTAATGGAAGTTTTTATTGTGTAAAATGTTGATTGTTTCAATGCCATAATTATATAGATTTTTTACCAAAAATCTTTCCTAATTTTTTCGACACTGTAAGAATAAACGATTCGTATAATGTGAAATAAAACTCAGTCGAAATGTCAACCTACAGATAAATATCAAAGCACTAACTGGCATAATTTTGCTACGTGAACCAAAAAAATTTAGACGCTCGTTTTACGTGCTAAGATAAAAGAAATAAAAATTTTAAAAGAAAGCTTCCTTTACAATTATGGAAGCACAAATGTGAGAATAATCTGACCAGACTGTATGACCGGCAGTATCTTGAATTTTAATACACATTTCAAACATTGAAAAAACGCTGGCGATCAGTTTCGCCGAGAAGACAGTTTCAACGATTATTAATGACTTTCATTATCACAGAGATTTATTTTACAAGTATTTTACGTTTTATTTTACACTTGTATTAAACTTTGAATTCTCTGCAAGCTAGGAAACAAGATTGGAAGTTTCAAATCACGAAAGCCTTTATGATCACTGTATAAATAGCAATAATAATTTTGACATTGAAAGTCAATTATATACATTACATACGACTTTCTTGCGTAAAAATGTAACAATTTTTCAATTCACTTATATAATGTATATTATGCTTTTCAATTTTGTAATAAGGTAATTTATAATAACGAAGTTTGGTGCAATGATGAGAGAGAGCCTCTTAATATGATTGGACTTCATCGTGATACAGATGTGTCAAAGAAATTGCTCGTTGCATATTACTTACACCCCAAGTAGCGGGGGGGGGGGGTGGGTTGTTGGGACTGAAAGGCTATGGAGATTTTTAACCTCAAAAATCGGGTGAATTTTGAGTCTCGGATACAAAATATTCAGAATTTGATGAACAGGAAAGAATATAATGACAGATTTGTGTGATCAAAACATCAATATCAATGTCACCAAGGTCAAGATAGACAGCGTTGGCAACTATAAAGCATCAATCAACGTCTATACACGGTAAGTCATAGCAAATATACTCAGAACATGTTATTATGTCACGTTAACGATTGAAGACTGACTCTGAAGTTTGTCAGACTGACTCTAAAATTTGTACACACTCCTCGTTATACAGGTGTGTAAGCACAAGATTAATGTGCTATGTGGTTATACATCAACTACATATCATACACTATATCATCATTAGGTCTATAATCATGTTTTTTGGCGTTCATGCATTAGTTGAGAATGAATTTTAAGCCCTGACCCAGTGCTTCCTCTCCTAACCTCTGATCTCTATATAGTAAGTGAATGTTACTTTCAGGCTCTATTAAATGCCTGGGTACGATGAGATTGCCCTGTTCATGCACAATATAGTGTCTGCAGCAAGGGTGATGGTAATCCGTGAACGGCATTGCAACTGTTCTTAATATCCTTACCAACGAGAAAATAACTTTATAATATCAACTTGCGGTTTATTTTGTCTTGAGAGAAGTCGTTACAAGATATCGGTGTTTTCATGAAGAAAGCTGCTGTAAGCAATGAAACCATTTCGTACATTTAATAATAGATCAAATTATCATAAATATAACATGGGATATTGTAAAGAAATTTATAGCCAAAAACCTTAAACTACTTAAAGGAATCTCTCCGCTCCAGAACATACGTTTAAAACAAATTTTAGGATTTCAATGTCTCGTGAAAATCTATGATCGAAATTCGTGTTTCGAAAGAATAAAGTGCTTGATACTTGTTCCGCCTTCGACAGCACCCCCAAATGAGTAAACGTCCGAAAACGGAAAAGATTCTTAGGATGTTCCGTATACAATTAAGGCCACAAATCCTGACACTTATGAATACGGAGAAGATTATCTGGAGACAACCAGGTCTGAGTAGCCTGCTCGCACGAATTCCGAGCTGACAATTAGCATCAATTTTGCCATTTATAAATTGCTGCTTTGCAATGGTAAAGTAATACAGCATTCTCAAGTTCCTATGTCAAATCTCGTGCACTTGCAAATGGTCTACCTTAACTCCGTCCGTGTGTAATTCCACGATATAATTATAATAAGGTTCCAAAGGGGGAAATGAGTTGTAGGGTTCATTTCATTGACATTGTTCATGATTTTACAAGTACCAAATGACGAACATAAACTTTCAAGATGAAGTGCTTTGGTCAAGCTTGTCAGAACAACGTTTCATAAACAAGGTTGTTGTTGACAGCTAATTAAATTTTTAACTGTAGAAAGAATATCGTTGGTATATAGTATTTGGCGCTTTCCTTAATTAAACGGCCAAAACGGCCACATCAGTCATACTTCGAATTGAAATACAGTATTTCGTTAAGAATAATACGACGAGACTGCATTTTTGCGGTGCCATGCAGTGTAAATAGTGAGTTTGGGAAATACAACGGCAACAACCGCAATATCCTTATCAACAATGCATGCCATTGATCCTTTAAGACAAACGAAATTGTAAATTACGTGGCCTGCAACGTTGCACACTGCCGTAGTTGCTGAAACGGCATCGTGAATTATACCAATAGGGACTTAAGCATGTAGGACGGGAACACGATGTATTAGGATAGTGCAATTGCGAGGACCGCACGCGTGTTTCGAGCGATCGCGCCAAATTCAGTCACGTGACTTGGGGAAAGAGAACAAAAGAGAAGTCCGCCATTATTCAAGATAGAGATACAAAACAGTGTTTTACCGACTTATTTAAACATCAAGCGGCTTCTTTTGACTTTATTGTTTGTTGAAGTTTGGATCAACATTAAGTTTGTATGATTTAATTGTAAGAAGCAAGATTTTTGAATATATTTTGTATGTTTACGTATATGACATGTCGTGTTGAAACCTGTTTCTGTGCGCTTTATCAATTTTGACTATGAATTATACCGCATCCCGGTACAGTAAAACACTGCTTAATCGTTGACGAACGCTTTGGCAATTGGTTGTTTGTGCTTGTGAAGAAGAGACATTGGAATTTGTTTGGCAAATTTATAAAACGTCGCTTGAAGACTACGCACTATAAACAACGATAAAATGGACGAAGTTGAAACCAAGAAACAAGAACGTAGTAAGTCAAAAATGGCTGTTACACGTACATCACGAAGACTTATCGATGCAGCCCACAGAGACGTCGATTTCGAGACGTTGAAAGGTTTTATCATGGAACTTGAAAAGGTATATGATGATTTTTGTGTTATTACTGAAGAGTATGAGTTACTAGTTTCCGAAGAAAAGTTTGCTGAACACCGTGTGGTTAATGGGGACGACCTTGCTACTTATAATGCAAACGTTAAACAAACATATGAAGAAGCGCGAGATGTTTATGTTAAAATAAAGGCTGAGAATGACAAGTCTAAGCAGAATTTAGCAATGGTACCCCTCATGACAGCCCTAAGGAGAGACATGAACAGATTACAAGATATAATTTCAGCTGTTGATGACAGTTTATCACAAGAAACCCCTAGTTCAGAAGGTTTACAAATGGACAGGATTGACATGGAGACTTTATTAAATGAAATGTGTGATAAAATAGACGAACTAACTATTATTCAGCCAGACACTTACATGCTGAATGATGTGGAGACAATAATGGGCACTGCGTATAATAAAATAAGGAAGGTAAACCTTCACTTGAAAAGGAACCAAGTTCCTAAAGCGCAAGTGATTGTATCAAGAGATGATGAGTGCCCAACAAACACAAAAGGTATGTCAACTAGTTTAACAACCCTGGTGACTGGGGAAGTTCAAACCCTAGCAAATGGTCCTACTTTGGAGTCAGTTGGGCCCACTTCTTTGAATATTCTCCCTAATAATCCTGCATCGGGCACACAATCCGTGAAAACTGCTCTTGGTGTTGGCCCCATAATGAGTATTACACCCATTTCTAGTAATAGTTCCACCATTGTACCCCCCCTAAGTCCACCAGTCAGTCAGATGTCCAGTTCCACCGTTGTACAACCCCTAAGTCCACCAGTCGGTCAGATGTCCAGTTCCACCTTTGTACCCCCCCTAAACTCACCTATTGGTCAGATGGCAAGCTCTGCCTTCGTGACTGCACCCCATCATTATAGTAGTGTACATACCACCCCAGAAGTAACAAACCCTCCCTATAGTTTACCGACTAACTCTAGATCAGAATTAAACCCACCGCTACAAAATTGTGTATCTGGAACTTATCCCTGGTATTATAATACAACATCAGTTGGGTCTCTTGTTCCTTCACATGCAGCAACCATAGCGCCACAGAATGAGTCACGGCAATCTCACCCAATTGGGTCACCTTTAATCAATAACGCTAACATAAGTTTGAAGAAAACTTCCTTACCAACGTTCAGTGGTTTGAGAAAAGATTGGCCTGAATTTAAGGCTGTGTGGAAACAACTAGCAGAGTCAGTATATTTCAATAAGACCGCTTTGGCTCATGAACTAAAGAGGTCAGTCAAGGGAGAAGCCAGTCAACGAATACGTTCGGTATATATAACCCGGCCAGAAGCATATGATACAATGTGGAAGAAGTTGGAAGCCCACTACGATGATGCGAGTGCAAGTGTACAAGCGGCACTAACCGGCTTACAGCATTTAAAGCCTGTAGAGAGTGAGGATTATAGAGCCCTAATAGACTTGGTGGATGACGTGGAAGCGGCCTACTGTCAGCTCCAAGAACTCAATCATTTAGACATTTTGACAATGAGAGATGTGGACCACATCAGCAAGTTTCTACCAAGCCATGTCAGAGTCGAATGGATTCGCAAGTATCAAGATATGCCAGCTGTTGAGAAGGTAAACCCCTTCCCACACTTCATGAAATTCATAGAGCGAGAACGTGAAGCTGTTGCCAGATTAGCTGAGAGTCAACCTACTAAGAAGAGATTACCATTCTTTGATAAATCAAGAGCAAAAGGACAGCTTCATCAGATCAATGCTGGCAGCCGAGGAGGAAAGTTCTATAAGTGCGCCTTTCCTGCACACAGAAAGGACCATATTAACCACAAAACTAGTGATTGCAATGAATTCAGAAAGCTGGAAGTGTCTGGTAAACAAGGAAGATATGAACTCTTGAAGCAAATAAATGCCTGTTTCAAGTGCTTCGGCAACCACAAGAGACAAGACTGCCCCAAGACCGATCCTTGCTCATCATGCGGAAGTAAGTCACATCACCAACTATTGTGCAAGCCAAAGAAACCCCCAATTATCCCACCAGAGCAACCGGAGGTAGAGAAAGACAAACACGAAGAGAAAGAAAGCAACGTGGTACAAAGTGACACCCTAGCCCTTTATCCCATTTACCAGACTACTGTTGTTGAAAGTGGCAAGTCTGTGAGTGTCTTCTGTGATGGAGGGTCAAATTCAAGTTACATTACTCATCGTGCGGCAGATAAGGTCGGAGCTAAAGTGGTACGGAAGTTAACTCTCGACATAACTACTATGGGCAATGTAGAAAAAACCTACAGCACACGCGAGTACCAGTTTACAATGAGAACTCGTACCGGTAGGAAGGTTACAGTCAATGCATTCGGCATGGAAAGAATAACGGGCCCAGTGAGCAAGCTCAACCCAGACGTAATTGGCCAAATTTTTCCTGATCACGACCCAGAGTCCCTTAAAGGAAGTCCGAACATATTGACGTTTACTTGGGTGTGACTATTTCGGACTTCACCCAAAGAATGAAGAAGCACGGTGTGGTGCAAACCTAAGCATAATGAGTGGCGAACTAGGAATTTGCCTGCAAGGAACACACCCAGATCTTAGTGAAGAAACGTACCACGACACGAACTTGGCGAAAACGATCCATGATGTTCGACACAAAGCTGAAACGTATTCGGCCTGCCTTGGAACTCATCCAGAATTCACTCGTCAAGGATTGTCACCCCAAATTATAGAGGGGAACACCGAAGCTCATCATAGCATGTGCAACGTCGCCAGGTTAAAGATCGACCGAGGAGGAGACAGCCAGATAGAGAATTTTATCCGAGGCGAAGAATTAGGCACCGAGACGTCTCCTCGCTGTGGCGGTTGCCGTTGCAACAAATGTCCAAGTGTCGGTCATACTTATTCATTCAAAGAGGAACAAGAGTTAAAGATGATTCAGGACAACTTGGAGTACGATGAGCAGAAACGTTGTTGGATAACAAGCTATCCCTGGTTAGTTAACCCAAGCAGTCTTCCTGATAACTACAGTGCTGCTTTAGCCACACTGCGAAACACCGAACGAACTTTGTCTCGAGACAGTAAATGGGCTGAAACCTACAAAGTTCAAATGAAAGATATGGAGGACCGTCAAGTCGCTCGTAAGTTATCTCCACAAGAACTGAAAGAATGGAAAGGACCTATATTCTATATTGCACACCTGGCTGTAGTCAACCCTCGTTCGAATTCAACTCCTGTACGCATCGTCTTCAATTCTAGTCAAAGCTATCGTGGAGTGTCGCTGAATTCCTGCCTGGCCAAGGGTCCGGATGCTTACATCAATAACTTGATTGGAATCCTACTACGATGGAGAGAGGAGTATGTAGCCTTTGTTGGAGACTTGAAGAAGATGTTTAATTCTGTCCACCTAAAGTCATTGGAGCAACATTGTCATCGGTTTCTTTGGCGAGACATGGACACTGAACGTGAACCAGACGTTTATGTGATGGAACGAGTCAACATGGGCGATTCACCAGCGCCGGCTATTAGCACAGAAGCGGTTTATAAGACTGCGAATTTATTTCAGGAAGACAGCCCAGAGGCTGCTGTGATGCTGAAGAAGTCCAGCTATGTAGATGACCTAATTGATTCCCGTTCCAAGAAACAGGATGCTCTGAAACTTGCTTTCGAAGCAGAGAATATGCTTGCCAAAGGAGGCTTCACAGTCAAGTGCTGGCAGTTTAGTGGCGAAGAGAAAACTCGTTCTGGTAAAGAACTGCAACAGACTGTGGCGCAGGAGAAAAAGTCGAACGATGTTGAGCGTCCGTTGCTGAAGGGAAATGATGCAAGCCTTCGCATCCTTGGTGTCGGATGGAAACCAAAGGAAGATGTCATCGTTTTTGACGTTACCCTCAATTTCAGTCAAAAGAGACGCGGAGTACGCATCGGACCCAACTTGATGATCAATGATCTACCTGAAGCTTTACCGGATATCCTAACCAAACGAATTGTCCTTCAACAGGTGATGAAAATTTACGACCCTCTTGGTTTGATCTGTCCTTTCACCCTCATCGGAAAAATTTATCTGCGAGAAACATGGTCCCGCAACCTGGGATGGGACGACCAACTCCCTTCTGATCTTCGTACCAAATGGGTAAAGTTTTTTGTCTCCTTGTTCGAGTTGGAAAAGTTGAATTATCAACGGTGCCTTCGACCGCCCGAAGCCGTGGGCAATCCTTGGCTTGTTATACTCAGTGATGGCAGCAACATCGCCTATGGGTTCGTAGCATACATCCGTTGGGTGTTAGTCAATGGTAACGTTTGGTGTCGGTTGATAATGGCAAAGAGTCGCGTTGCCCCCGTAAACAAGCTTTCGACACCTCAGATGGAACTGAACGCTGCGGTACTATCAAAGAGAGGGAGAAAGATTATCGAAAGAGAAATGCGGTTCCAGTTCGAGCGAGTCTTACAGATCGTTGACTCCGAGACTGTCCTTAATATGATTAACAAGACAAGCACAAGATTCAAAGTTTATGAAGGTGTCAGATTAGGAGAAATACAAGCTGCTACTGATGGTGACATGGGTTGCTGGGCGTGGATATCGGGCAAGGATAACACTGCAGACTGGTTAACAAGAGGACGATCTCCGGAAGAAATTAATGAAGAATCAGAATGGTGGAACGGTCCCACAATACTTTATCAACCTATAGAAGAATGGGGTCTAAAGTTCGGTTCTCAGAAGGAAGAGTGCCTCCCTGGAGAGAAGATGATTCACAGTGCATCAACCGCGGTTGCCAACCCTCCTCTGCTCAACTATGAAAGATTCAGCGACATCAATCGAGCTATATGGGTCATTGCAAGAATTTTGGCCATGCTACAGAGCAAGTCCTTCCGTGGCGGTAAGACGATGTCAGTATCAGTGCAACTATTGAGAGATGCAGAGAATTTCATCGTAAAAGACGTGCAGAAGACAATGCGAAAAGAGTTAGTTAAAACAGATCACAAAGGGAGGAAAGGAGGACGTTATGCTTCACTCAGTCCTGTCTACAGTGAAAGCGGATTATGCTTAATAGGAGAACGTCTGAAACAATGCAACCCCATGACTCTGGATTCATCTCCACAGAAGCTATTACCCTCTTCACATCGAGTCACTCGTCTTTTGATGCAAAGAGCACACCAGCACGGACATCGTGGACGCGACGCCACTCTTGCGAAATTCCGTGAGAAGTATTGGGTCCCCAAGGTAGTAAGCTAGCTCGAAAGGTCACGCAGAATTGTCAGCTTTGTAAATTACGACAAGCAAAGCTACTTCGGCAAGTGATGGGTCAACTTCCAGAAGAGCGACTGAATCCAAGTCCACCATTCACACACGTCATGCTTGATATGTTTGGTCCTTACGTTGTAAAGGGAGAAGTCCAGAAGCGCGTAAGTGGAAAGGCATATGGTGTCATTTTCACAGATCTGGTGATTGGAGCGGTACATATTGAAGCAGTATATGGCTATGACACACAATCGTTTCTAATGGCATTGAGTAGATTCGCTTGCATCCATGGATGGCCCGCGACCATATACAGCGACCCAGGTTCTCAGCTAGTCGGTGCCGACCGAGAATTAAAAGAAGCTTGGAAAAGTATTGATCGTGATGCGCTGCATACAAACGGTGTTCAAAATGGACTAACCTGGCTATTCGGTCCTGCGGACAGTCGTGGAATCAAGGAAAAGTCGAAGCATTAGTCAAAGCGGCCAAAAGAGCAATTCATTTTGCGGTTCACAACAAGCGTCTCACCGTATCGGAATTTCTCACGATTTGCTACGAAGTGGCCAACCTGCTCAACGAACGTCCTATTGGCACGCTGCCCGGAGCAGACTCAAACCTGAATATTCTTACACCGAATACTCTCTTGTTGGGTCGTGCCTGTGCGAAGAATCCTGGAAATTGGCAGCCTACCCGAGAACCTATCACCAAGCGCTATCATTTTGTACAAGCAGTCGTAAGCGAATTCTGGGCCAAATGGATCGAGTTGTGTGCCCCCGCGTTAGTGACCAGATACAAGTGGACCGAGCCCTCTCGAAACCTCCAACCAGGAGATATAGTTCTTATAGCTGATAAAAGCCCAATAAAGGGAGATTACCGATTAGGAATGATCCACGAAGTATTTCCTGGCAAAGACGGTAAGGTGCGAAGAGCGTTGGTTAAGTACAAGAATTATAAAGTTGGCAAAAGGAATCATGAGTATACAGGGTGCGAAGAAGTGATTGTTTCTCGTAGTGTTCATCGTTTAGCCCTTTTGGTGCCAGTGGAATACGATCAAGAAAAACACGACGAAGACTAATCAAAAAACGACTCTGATTGAGTTCATTAAAACTCTGAACCACTAAGCAGGAACTTTAGACAGCATGACATTAGTTTACATTTTGTTATTTTGTTAATGCGATCGCGTCGACCCTCACCCTCCCGGTGTATTAGGATAGTGCAATTGCGAGGACCGCACGCGTGTTTCGAGCGATCGCGCCAAATTCAGTCACGTGACTTGGGGAAAGAGAACAAAAGAGAAGTCCGCCATTATTCAAGATAGAGATACAAAACAGTGTTTTACCGACTTATTTAAACATCAAGCGGCTTCTTTTGACTTTATTGTTTGTTGAAGTTTGGATCAACATTAAGTTTGTATGATTTAATTGTAAGAAGCAAGATTTTTGAATATATTTTGTATGTTTACGTATATGACATGTCGTGTTGAAACCTGTTTCTGTGCGCTTTATCAATTTTGACTATGAATTATACCGCATCCCGGTACACACGACGACGGCAGTTATCAAAACAATGGTTCATTGAAAAGAAATAAATTATTAAATACCTATGGGAGGTTTAAACCTAATCTAAGTTCTGTTTGTTCGATGTTGTTTGGAGTGCTAGAAGCAACTTTGCTGATCGGTCATATTATTTTTTATTAACTGTTTCAGAGAAAGAGAAAACTTGAAGAGGCAAATCAAGTCTATACTAGCTCGTATTTTCTTTAATACCACAATATTAGGTGAATATATTTTGCCGTTGCCGTCTTGCCGTTACCGTTGCAGTTGTATTTCCCAAACTCACTAATATTTAAGAGTTTAAGTTCGACTTCCGATACCAATACCAATACCGATGTCTTCACTTCCGTTGTCATTTTGGTAGCGGGAATTTTAAAGTGTTAAGTTATCACGACGGATGAAATAAAATATCAAAACAAACATGGCGCATGCAGTTGATATTTCCTTAGAAGAAGCTTTAATAGTACAGGCATTTGAAGACGATATTTTAAGTGAAGAGGAAGCTTTTTTAGCATTAGAATTAGCTGGGTGCAATGAGAACGAGCCAATAGTACACAGAAATTATGAAAGACTAGATTTAAACCGACTAGATGAAACTGAGTGTTTGGAGAGATTTCGATTTTTAAAACAAGATATCACACGAGCTCTTCGGTTGCCTGATAAATTTGTTGGTTATCAGGGTACAGCATGCAATACTATTGAAGGTTTGTGTCTGCTTTTGCGACGTTTGGCGTACCCTTGTCGTTATGTTGACCTAATTCCTCTCTTTGGACGTTCTAAAGCAGAGCTTTCAATTATTAGCAATGCTGTGCTAGATTTTATTTATGCAGAGCATAAACATTTACTGAACTCTTTCGTTGTTCCATGGATGAGCCAAAGAAATCTGTCACTATATTGTGAAGCAGTTCACAGAAAAGGAGCTGCATTGGATAATTGTTGGGGATTTGTAGATGGGACGGTAAGTTTTGCATGCATAGTTGAATTGAAATTTGCAGAAAAACCAAATAATTTATAAGTGACAATTTGTTTTAAAGGCCCTGCATGAGTGTAATATATTTTTGTTTCCAACACTAGGTTCGACCAATAAGTAGACCAGGGGTAAACCAGAGACAGGTATATAATGGACACAAACGTGTTCACGCACTAAAGTACCAGTCAGTTGTAGCAGCAAATGGTCTAATAGTGCATGTACATGGACCTGTAGGTAGGTTTTTCGGTTCAAAACACTCAATATGGTACCAGTCTTTGCACATAAATGTTAGCAATTAAATAGTGCTTTTGCTAGTTTTGGACAGCTGAGAAGCTAATTGCATGGAAGCAAGGCATGGGGTGCTTGTGTTTTTATCAATGTATTACAAAATAAATTGACAAGATATAGCAAGCCAAGCAGTGGTGAATTTAGATTTAGTTTTTATTTTACCCCCAAACCTAGCTCACTTCCATGAAATGAGCCACTCTCCTGACCAAAACTAATTTGCCTTTTCTTTAAGAATTTCTACAAGGCATAATTAAAAAGTTACTTGATAAGAATGGTATTTGTAAATTTTTGCCTTAACTCTTTTGCAGAGGGTAAAAGGCATGATGCTAGGATATTTGTGGAGTCTGGCTTACAAGAACAGCTGCAAGTACATTCTTATGATGATCATGATAACAGACCCTTGTGTATATATGGAGATGCAGCATATCCTGTTTCACGCCACGTACAAGGTCCATTCAAGGGGGCAAACCTTACCGAGGCACAAAAGGCATTCAATACCTCGATGAGTAGTGTACGAATAGCAGTAGAGTGGCCATTTGGAGGAATAAGCACATATTTTGCATTTGTAGACTTTAAAAAGAACTTGAAGCTGTACTTGCAAGCAGTAGGGAAGCTATATATAGTTAGCATTATTTTATATAATGCTAGAGTTTGCCTTTATGGTAACATAGGAAGCAACTTTTTTGAAATTCAACCACCTAGCTTGGAGGAGTACTTGGGATTTACTGAATAAAATGCATAACCTTGTATATTTGTGTATACATGTACATCATACTAATGAAAAATATATTAATTTTATAAATATTAACAAGGACACCAAACTTTAAATGTTTATAACAAGAACAAGTGTCTTGTAATAGTCTTGTAATTATATTAATTATCTTTAATGTCTCTTAAAACTTTAAGCAGTCCCAGTTGAACTTGACTGTATATATATTATACTAATGAAAAATATATTAAATAGTTTCCATAAATATTAACAGGGACACTGTAATGTCCCCTTCGCTGATATGTAATAACTCACACAAATCTTTAGCTTTTCTACAATCGCTTTAATACAAAATACACAAACGATACAAAACGAAAAAACACACTTCAAACGACAGCCTCGTGATAAGTTGTCACGTGACTTTAATCTAATACAAATAAATCTAATCAAGTATCCCGATTCTACATCCCTTCCTTTCCAGTCAATTTAGTGTTCGAACAACCAATCATAACTTCAACTACACGAACTATCGTGTTCATACTGTTTCGTAATATATTTGTATCACTTTGGTTTGTCCATGATAAAATCATTGAATCGCTCGGGTAATCTAATCTCCCGCTTAAGTCTATTGGTGATAACCGTTTCGCTATCCGGTTGCGGCTGTTGTTGGGACTCGCTTTCCGTAGCTGACTCCACTGGATTATTATATGGTTTTACAAATGAACTGTCTCTCCTAAAGATCGAGCCATCGTCCGCCTCTACCATCACTTCGTTCCCCTCCTTCGTGACCACCGTATACGGCTCCTTTTCGTAGTTGGCAGCTAACTTCCCTGACGTTTTAGTGTTCCGTAGTAGTACTTGGTCTCCTGGTAGAATAGTGCTATCATTTGCCCTCCTTTTTTCATCTGCATTAGCTTTTTGTACTAGCTTGTTTCGCCAATCGCGATCCCTTATGTTCTCATCAAAGTCGTCTATATCTCCCCTAAGTTCTGGAAGTTTACTTCTCAGTTCACGTTTGAACATAAGGAACGCTGGTGTTTTTCCAGTTGTGACTTGCGGTGTTGTTCTATACGCAAGAAGGAATTGTGGTAACTCCTTTCTCCAATCCTTGCCTTCAACTTGGGCCACTTTTAGTGCCTTGAGAAGAGTGCGATTTTGGCGCTCCACTTCACCGTTAGCTTGTGGTCAAAGTGGTGGTGACGTTCTGTGTTCAATATTCGCTTGTTGTAAAAACCTCTTGAAATCCTCACTAACAAACTGTCTCCCGTTGTCTGATTTCAACGAGTAAGGAAAACCAAATCTAGCAAAAATTTCGTTTAGCGCTTTGATAATCTTTTCTGAAGTTGTTGAGTGCATAATGGAAACTTCGTAGTATCGACTATAGTAATCCACGACTACCAGCAAGTATTCTCCGGTTGGCATTGGCCCCATCAAGTCTACTGCGACATCTTGCCATGGGCCTGTAGGCATCTCGGTCCGTTTCATGGGTTCCGGTACATTATACTGGCTGACTACTTGACATCCATGACACGATTTACACACTCGTTCAGCATCTATGTCCATCTTGGGCCACCATACTTTCGTTCTTAATCTGCTTTTCGTCTTTACAATTCCTTGATGGCCTTCATGTGCCGCTTCCAAAACCTTTCTTCGCAACATCTGAGGAATAACGATTCGATTCCCCCGTAAAACAAGTCTACCAATCATGCAGAGCTCATTCTTTACACACGCATATGCCGACAGTTTACATTTAGTCCAATCTCCCGATTCGATATAGTATCGCACACTTTGTAATTCAGCGTCGATTTCTGACGCTCTCTCTATTTCTTTAGTCGTTAAGGCCACGGGTGTCGCTTGTATGGCAACGAAACGGATGACGTCCTCTTTCTCGCTGCTGTGGTCTTTTGGACTCTTCTGGTTCATTCTAGACAAAGCATCGGCAATGTTCGTCTTTCCAGGCCGGTAAACGACCTTGAAGTTGTGGCACTGAAGCCGTAATACCCATCTTTCGATCCTTGCTGAGGGTTTCGATGTCTTGTTGAAAATACACTCTAGTGGCTTATGGTCAGTTTCCAGTTCGAATTCACGACCATACACATATATATTAAACCGCTCGCAAGCCCACACGAGTGCAAGTGCTTCCTTCTCTGTTTGGGCGTATCGCCGCTCTACGTCCGAGAGGTTCCTGGAGGCATACGACACCGCTCTCCACTGGTCTCCTTGCAGTTGTAGCAACACAGCTCCAATTCCCTCCGGCCCTGCATCCGCGACGATTCTCGTTTTGCAGTCGTTTCTAAAATAAGCCAGGGCTTCAGCCCTAGTCATCATCCATTTCAGCTTCTCAAACGCCTGCTGTTGCTCTGACCCCCAAACGAACGACTGTCCCTTTCTTAGTACACGACGCAACGGCTCTGCAATCTGCGCAAAGTCCGGGATAAACTTTGCCGAATACTGTACTAACTGTACGAACGACCTAACTTCCGAAACATTTTGCGGTGGTCTAGCGTTGACTACAGCAGCAACTTTCTCTTCACTTGGTGCCACCCCTTTGGCACTTAGCTTGTGGCCAAAAAAGGTCAAGGCCGGAAGTCTAAACTGACATTTGTCCCCATTTACGGTAAGACCTTTCTCTCGCAGACGTGTTAGTACTTTATAAAGATTCTCATCATGCTCGGATAAATCAGCCCCGTAAACAATAAGATCATCCGCAATATTTGCCACCCCATTGCACCCTGCCAAAACATCTGAGATTATTTTCTGGTACTTCTCTGGAGCTGAAGTAATTCCGAACATCAGTCGACGATATCTATATAACCCCCGGTGTGTCACGAACGTCGTAATGTCCCTTGAATCCTCTGTGAGTTCCACTTGATGAAACCCCCATTTGAGGTCTATCTTACTAAATACCGTTGCTCCATTTAAATCATACAAAACTTCTTCTATGGTCGGAATAGGATGTCTTTCCCTTATAATCGCCTCGTTTGCCCTTCTCATATCGATACAAACTCGAATATCCTTTCCCTCTGCTTTTGGAACAACCACTAATGGTGAAACCCACCTTGTAGGTGTTGCTTCTGGCAATTCTTCGATAATACCCATGTCGAGTAACTCGTCTAACTTATCGTCTACTTTGTCCCTTAGACCGAATGGCAGTCTACGCACCGGCTGAGCAACTGGTATAACATCCTCATCGATATGCAGTTTCAGCTTGTAATCCTTAAGTAGTCCGACTCCAGTAAAAATATCAGCAAACTCCTCACGAATATCTGAATCACTTCCCTCTTGTGTGACCGTGTTAACAGTTCTTATTATTTCTTCAGGTCCAACCCTGAGTACTTTCAATTGTTCGGCTGTTTTCTTCCCCAATATAGGCCTTCCGTTCTCTTTAATCACAGTGAAATCGTCTACACATCTTTCACTGTTTGCCTCGCACACAATCTCTGCTGTAAATGTCCCTACAACGTCGATTGGCTCTTTCTGTCCATACGCAAACAGTTTCTTGTCTGATACCCTTGACTCGCACCTAACAAAGATAGTTCCAGAGTTCACAATCAATTACATTACATGTTGCACCTGAGTCAATTAAAATACTTTCTAGTTTCACTCCTCCAATAATTAGATCCACCTGACCCATATCTTTTTGTCCATGCCCACCAATAACAAAGGCATAGTCATCTCTTGTTGGTGTTTTTCCTTCTTCCTCAGAGACTTTATATGCTCTTTTCTCCTCCTTTTTTTCTTTCTCCTTGTTGTGCTTCTCCCCTGCTTTTTTGCAGCAAGCTGAGAAGTGACCTATGATTCCGCATTTATTGCAGCTCTTGGACTTTGCTGGACAATTTGCGTCTCGAGCAAAGTGCCCAGTTTTATTACAGTTGTAACATCGTCGTACGTTATCCTTGTTGTCGTGCCCAGTCCCCTTGGCTGAGTATCTGCGCTCTTTCTGATCTGTGTTGACCTTTTTCTCTTTTCGTCCGCTCCAACGCGATTTATGACTCACAACGTTTACTGTATTCGAACCTTCCATTGATTTCAACTGCTCTTCTACCGCCTCATATGCCCGCGCAATATCTTGTAAATCCTTGAGTGTTGCATTAACGCGTTCAAGAAACTTCCGTCTAAGCTTTGAGTCGCCACATTTCTCAATTAGTTGGTCTCGAATTGCTTCTTCCACGTTCTGAAATTCGCACGTAGTAGCTTTTTGCCTAAGACGCGAAACAAAATGATCCACTTTCTCGCCGTTCATCTGACTCATTTGACGAAACTGGTGTCTCTCAAACGGTAGATTCACTTTAGGGACGAAATACTCATCCAAGACCTTGACGCAATCCTTAAACTCTTTCTCTTCGTCTTCGTTTACTAATGTAAAATATAGTTCTTGCAACTGCAACCCCCCCGTATGCAGAAGTAATGCCACTTTCTGTTTGTCATTTATTACTCCCTTTGCCGTTAAAAACACATTAAATGACCGCTTCCAGCGCTTCCATCTCACAGCCAAATTCGTTGGGTCTTCCCTGGGGTTAAAGCAAGGAAGCCCTTTGACGTCGCTTGTCAATAAACTTGCTTGAGCGCCTGCCGGATTGCCGTTTTGTCCTGCGCCATCTTCGTCCGCGACAGACATTTCAAATATTTTCGCTAAATACTACACTCCCGATTGGTAATCTTGCCAAATTCACGGCTATAATGTTAGACGAACTTCCATCCTCGTCGCCAATGTAATGTCCCCTTCGCTGATATGTAATAACTCACACAAATCTTTAGCTTTTCTACAATCGCTTTAATACAAAATACACAAACGATACAAAACGAAAAAACACACTTCAAACGACAGCCTCGTGATAAGTTGTCACGTGACTTTAATCTAATACAAATAAATCTAATCAAGTATCCCGATTCTACAGACACCAAACTTTAAATGTTTATAACAAGAACAAGTGGTAGCATCTGTGCGAACTGAACGTATTATGTAAAATAGTCTTGTAATTATATTACTTATCTTTAATGTCTCTTAAAACTTTAAGCAGTTCCAGTTGAACTTGACTGTTTTGAACATGTAACTCTGCCATCAACTTTTGCTGTTGTTGTTGAAATATCTGCTGTTGGGTTTGATTTTCTAGATGCATCTTCATAATTTGTTGTTGATGTTGATGGCCATGCATTTGTTGTTCAATAAGCAAAGCTTGTTGCTGCTGCTGTTGAGCAACAATATCTGTGAATAATGCCTGCCTTTCTTTATCTGCTTGTAAGCGCTTCTCCTCAATTGCCATTCTTTTTATTTCCAACTCATTTTTGGCATTTCTTCCTTCTTCAATTAACTCTTCAACACTGTTGATTTCCGTTTAACAGGGTTGTTTGCTTGCCTTTCCATTGCCTGAATCCTGACATCTGCAATCTGCTGTTTCTCATCATTTGCAATCTTTTCTTTCTCTTCAAGCTGTTTGGCCAAGGCTGTCGCAGCATCACGTGCTTTTTCATATATATCAAGCAAGAGCTGTTCAAGCTCGTCATATTCAGCCTCAATCCCTGAAGCCACCATTTCTTCTCTCTCGTTCTTTATAAATTCATCCATTAACTTGTCATATTGTGTACGAACTCCACGTTGTGTTGTGTTTAACCCTGAACCTGGAATACCATTTAAGGTACTTGCAATTGCACTCCAAGTCTCACCCCTTTCCTTTGAGCCCTTACTATATTTGTATGGCTCTTGTGCTAACACTTCCTTTAGAAGTAGGATATTATGCTCACGTTTCCATCTATTTTCTAAAAGATTAAGAAACAAATGTCTGTGAAATATAAACTTTATAATAACATTTAATAATAACAATAAACACTCACAACAAAAAATGTCTTAAAAAATGGGATGTTTACAGTCCCGTGCACTGCATGGGACAGGATATAGGTAGGATGTAAATAGTTTATATGAACACAGAAATCACTCACTGGTAAACGAAGGTCATAGGAATAAAGTACCCTAATAACTTAATGATTCATGCACTAAACCAAAACAACAATAAGAGCTTAAAACCAATCACGTATATCACTATAAATCATGTTCTTATAAATCCAAAGATAGTTATTTAATTATCTTGTTTGACCTACCGTGTTTTATCAGCATCTTCGAAAGTGGACGCCATTGTAAATATGTAATGAACTATAATAAAACACTAGAATATAAAACACATTGTTAGCGAAAATGTGCTGTATACAAAACCGCAGCTGAGCTAAAATTCCTACTAAAACATGACTCAGGCGATGCTAATAAACAAATATGTTACGTCTTTATGGAAAAAACTATGAAATACAGTATTTATATGAGTGAATAATGAGTTTACCTTTCAATTCCCACGACTACCGAAATGACGCTGACTTCCGTAGTGACGACTTCCAAAACAATTGTCCTCGTGCTCTTTGCAGGCACAGCGCATGCGCATGACCTGTTGTTAGTATTGGTATTGGTATCGGGAGTCGAACTTAAACTCTCTATTAAGGCGGATTTCCACTTACAGCGAAATCGTTCGCCAGCGAAATATTTGCATATTTTCTTTTGAATTGAGAACAGTCAAGTCGAACTAATTTATTTATGCCGTTAAAATTCAAAAGAAAATATGCAAATATTTCGCTGCCGACCGATTTCGCTGTAAGTGGAAATCCGGCTTTATACCTGACTGAAAAGTTCTTGGAACGCTCTAACCCTCTAATATACCAGTAATCTGCCCGTGTTTCAAATACAACAGGACCGGTCTGGCTGTTTTTACTGTATGAAGGAACAAATTTATCACACAGAAAACTTTGGAAAGCACTAGCCAGATAAAATATTTTAGGGGCTTAATTTCGAGTGGAATTATACACACTTTAAATTCAAGCCATGTAGGAACAGTTGATGGCTTGAATTTAAAGTGTGTATAATTCCACAAGACCCTTTGAACCTTCGGTCTGATTTGCATGCACCTCACACAAAAGATTAATTTAGACCATAAATTATAGGTTAGTTAATACCCACAGATATGCTATATGATAGTGAAAAGGATTGTAGCTGCATGCATGTTTCGCCTAAGTTAAAAAATTGAAAAGGATAGAAAAGCTTTCTTTCTGTGTCATAATACCCAAGCCATGACACTCAGGTTAGTGTCATAATAAACAATTATTTCTGGTTATGAACTGTTCAATTTTAAAATAAGATCAAAGATTTCTCGACTAAAACTGGCAGAATTCGGTATTTTACTTTACTGCATGCAACTTTTAATATTCAACAGCCCTATATACCACAAATTTGGTGTTAAGGGTGAGCGAGGTGCGTCTAAGCTGTGCAAAGATTTTTGTATAGTGTTTGTAAAAGCTATTTGTGAAAACATGGATAATTAATGAGATTATCATATCAAGCCACCGTTGCACGCAAAGCTCGCGTGTTTTGGACCAACCACAGAACACAAGCAAATAGAACTACAGCAGTACAATGTACACAAAAGTGACTAATTTAGATATTAGTTATCTTAACTATCACTTATCTGAAATAACTGGCAAGGTTTTACAATGGTATAAAAAAATACACAATATATATTGTAAATAAGTAGAACAATTTAAATAGTCTTCTATATTTTCCACATTCAGTGAACAGTAGGTTATTGCAACAAGGCAAAAGGTGCAATCGTTTTTTTCTGCAGCGAGTTCATATGTTTGAATAAACACCAGCGTTACATGTCCTATTGGTCACATCACATTTTGCAAACATTTTTGAGTCGTCAATGGGAACAAGATTCGTTTTCGGCACTCTTTGGCACATTGATATTCGTTGTCGATTGTCAATACTTTGGGTAGCTTCTAGGGGCTAAAACATACAGGAACTAGCATTGTTTGTTCATGACTGTCATACATCATTTTGATTTGGTAGTTAATCTGGTCCTCAGTTATTGGTGGCATATCATCTTAAAGGTTGGGCATTATGCATGATTAGAGGCCCTTGGAACACCTTGCATTTTCAAAGTGCCTTAGGAAGGCATAAAATTTTCTCTGTATCTTAGGAAGTTTTTACAATTTTGCATTAAATCTTTAGATGTAATTGAACTATAATGTTTTTAATATTTCTTCAATTTTTTTTTGTACAAGTGGCCTTGATATTCTTGTGGCAAGTGGCCTTGATATACTTGGAGCAAGCGAGAGCTTCTCAACATCAGTTGCTGCAAAGGGTGCAAGCATATTTGTGATTGCATATGCCTGCCACAAGATGTTCATGCCTGTTAGAATCTTTATGACTGTTACTTGTACACCATTGATTGTTAATAGGCTGCAAAGACTTGGAATAGTAAAGGCAAGATAGTGTAAGACAACAAGTAACTTTCTTGTTCTTGTAGTTAGTTTGATGTGGAGAACTTGTGAGAACTGACTAGTAGGTAGAATAAAATGAAATAACTTGATGCCCACCAGTAGCATTTCATATGCAGAAGATTTGACCTATTGCACGAGAAAACTTGAGAGAACTATTTTTCTTCAAATTCATGGTTTAGGTATATAAGTGCTGCTAACATCTTCAATATTTCTTTTTGTTGCATGAAAGTGACACGGGCTAAAACTTATGTTTAAGCCTAAACGCCCAAACCTTAGGCGTATATATGTATGTTGCTTCGTAAAAGTTGGCAAACAAGCTTTATATTCCATGATTTTCATTCCATTTCTCCCCTCATTTTTTAGTTGCATTAAGACAAAATTGGCCTTCAAAATTGATGTAGATAGTTTGGCTTCCATTTTGGAAAATATCTCATACCGACATAGACAGCTAGGGTATAGGTCCAGTTATGAAGTACTCTGGATTCAAGTTCAGATGCTTTGAGTTTAAAACAAATTTTCATTGTTGACTCTGCAGTGTAAGATTCATATAAATTCAGCATTATTACACAGCCCACCTGAAAGTGAAATATGTTACACTCCGCAAGTGTCTACAATTTTATGATATGTATAGTATCATTTTATAGGGTTCTTCACCTCTTTCACTGTGAATGTACACAGCCTGTTCAACTTATATATAAGATTGTATATTCATTATATACCAGTATATAAGTCTACGTAATCTGTTAGTATGCAGCATTGTTTTAAATGTAATATGTTATTTTTAAGTTTTGTAGCACCAGGTGGTCAATTATTGAGGTGTGTTACACCTCCTCATTTTGTAGTTGCCAAATTTACATTTATCAAGGTAGAATTGTATTGTGAGTGGCCTTAATACAGGAGGCTGAAGTAATTATATTAGTAATTACCAAATGCAGATGAATTTAGATTAGAATACATTGAGTGATTTGAAGTCACGAGTGAAATCTTGAAAAAGATAAATTCAAGTAAAAATACCGTCAATGCAAGCCTCAGATTCAGAAGTCATGTCACTGAAAGTCTTTTAATTGCAGCAAAAATACATTAACACAATCTTAATTATCTTTACTTCATTATGTCCTGATTCGTCTTTACTAAATAGATACAGTTATGTTTGTATCAATATTATTATGCATGCTCCTATCAAACCAACAAATACAACTAAACAATCATGAAGTATAAACGTGTAATTCTCTTGGGCACTTGATTATTTAGGATGCCATATTTTCCATGTTCACAAAACTGACCCCTACATTCCGAGCC